CATGGGACTCTCAAGAGTCTCCTCCAGCACCATAATTCAAAAGCATCAATTCTTCTGTGATCAGCCTTCTTTATGGTCCAGTGCCAGAGACTTAAGTTGGGGTTAACGGGGCACAGAGGTAAGGGAGACCTGCGTGTACTTTCAAGGCAACCATCAAAGGGGAAAAGAGACACCAGTATGGTGCTGCATTCAATGCTACTCAGAGTAGAACTAGCATGAGCTACAATGCACGTGTCCCTAACCTACTCCCTTCTGAGGTCACAAAGGTATTGAAAAAGAAGCAATTTTATCTCATCCAGTCCCAGCCCTTAAATAGAAATAGTAAACAAACAAAAAAAAATATTGGATGGGATCATTAAGTGTGCAGTGCTAATATGTGCAGCTTCTTCTGTTCCTGGAGCGCTGCCGCAATGAAGTCATTCAAATTCTCCCTGTTTGGCTGGCAGAGTGCTTGCTCAGGAGAAGGGGAGGGGGCGTCCAAGAACAAGCTGTCCCAAAGGAAACCGCCCACAAGGACAGCCGTTAGAAGAAAGAACCCAGAGACATTTGCAAAGAAAACACACACACGCGCCTGTGTTTCATAAGGATTCAAGTCTGAAGGGTGTTAACAGTAACTGATTTCAACACTTCCTTGAGGCCTGATCTTTCCTCTATTAGCTCTTCTGAAGTGGTGGTTTGTCTGGGGAATGGTTCCAAAAACTCTGAGATGTTCCATCGCCCACAAATGGGCCCTCTTTTTTTTGAACAGGGGAGTGACAGTCCTCTGATGGGGGTTGCAGAATGGCAGTATCCCAAGGCTTCGGGGTTCTGAGGCAAACTTTTCATAACTTACAATGCCTGGGAATGAATCCAGGACCTTGTCCATGCAAACCTCATGTTCTTCCGCTGAGCTAAAAACAACAACAACCAAAGACAAGTGTGGAGCCTCAACCATGGAATTAAGGATGCACCAGAATTATGTAAAAGTTCCAATTCAGATTCAGTTCAGATTTCATATGGACTCCTAGAGACAGCTTAAGAGCCCAGTTCAGAATGAATCTGCACGAATCAGAAGCTGTGCCTTGGTTTTCAAACATTTCGGAAGTCAAATGGACTTCCGGAATGGATTAAGTTTGGCGCTTTTGTTTTTGCTATTTATTTTGCATTTTTGTTTTTGAGGCTTTTTCGGTTCATTTGTTTTTGTGACTGTGTGGAACCCAGTTCAGCTACTGATTGATTGATTGATTGATTGATTGATTGTGTGATTGCGGAAATGGATAAAAGCCCCCCTATCCAAACAATGACTATCATCAGTGCAGGTAAGAAAATAATAATAATTTTAATTTTTTATCGTCTACAATAGTGTCATATTTATTTTATAGTACATTGATTATTGCTTTCATTTTATGGATCAGTGGTTTTGTTAGATTGTAAAATTCATCTTAAATTGCTGTTTTAGGGGTTGTTTTTAAAAGTCTGGAACAGATTAATCTATTCCACATTACTTTCTAACGGAAAGCACACCTGGGTTTTGGAACGCTTTGGTTTTGGAACGGACTCCCGAAAAAGATTGAGTTTGAGAACCAAAGCACCACTGTATCTGAAAATAATAATTATTTGGGCAGTTCACCAGCATTTCTACTCACAATCACATTGGATCTGGGTACAGAGATGCATATGAGCCCATTCTGGTCAATTAGATTGTCATCTAGGTAAAGGTAAAGGGACCCCTGACCATTAGGTCCAGTTGTGACTGGGGTTGCGGCGCTCATCTCGCTTTATTGGTCAAGGGAGCCGGCGTACAGCTTCCAGGTCATGTGGCCAGCATGACTAAGCCGCTTCTGGCGAACCAGACCAGCGCACGGAAACGCCGTTTACCTTCCCGCCGGAGCGGTACCCATTTATCTACTTGCACATTGACGTGCTTTCGACTGCTAGGTTGGCAGGAGCAGGGACTGAGCAATGGGAGCTCACCAGATCGCGGGGATTTGAACCGCCCACCTTCTAATCGGCAAATCGTAGGCTCTGTGGTTTAACCCACAGCGCCACCCGTGTCCCAGATTGCCATCTACTGCTCTGCATTTACTTGGAGGAGGGCTTTAAGCATGGCAGCACTTTGTGGAATAGCATCCCTGTTGAGATACGACAGCACCTGCTATCTGCATTTTCGGAAAACAACTGAAGGCAGTTTTGTTCCAACAGGTTTCCCCAGCTGTATAAATGGGCCTTTGCATTGCTTTTTTTCTCTCTAGAAAAGATATTTGATAAGCAATAATGCTTCTCTGAGGGGGAAACTCAGTTTGTAGCACCTTGGGTGCTATGCTTTAACCTTTTTTTTATTATGTGAACTGTATTTTTCTCCGTTCACAGCTGAATGCAATCATTTAGGGGTAGGACTTGGCCAGATGACTCCATTCAGATTTTCACCAGATTTCCAGGGCCAGTGGCAGTGCTATCTCTACTTAGAAAGGTAGAAGGTGACATCTTCTTTTATTTTTGAGATTAGCGGCATGGAACAAGCCAGGCATGATATTGACTGTCCTTGAACTCTGTCATCGGCTGCAAGTGTTGCAGAAATAACAGGCTGCGTGAGAGTGAAGTAATCTTGGAGAATAGGAAGATGGTAAAAAGCTCCACAGCTGTGGTTCAAAGTCATAAAATGATGCATACTGAATATGAAAAAGCAGAGGAGATGAAGGAGCCGTCTGAAGACTAGATCCAGCTGCTGGGGCTGCTCTGTGTTGCCCCAGCAGACAAGCAGAAGTATAAACTGATGGTATGAAAACTTGATGGTTTTGTACATTCAGTTGGACCAATATTATTTTGTGCCATGTTTTGCCAATGTGCAGAAGGAAACATGGGCACTGATAAAGTATCAGGATGAAATGATACATAATATAATTAACTGATGAAGTATTTCTACCCGTTTATGTGCTCCTGAACACCATAGCTTCTAAGCCATGTGAAATAAAGTTGCAAAATGAATGGTAGGTAAAACCAGTTAATCATAAAAATCATCATGGGGCAGGGCACCATGCCTTAAATGCCCCGTGAAATTTTAAAAAGTCTTTAGGTGCAAGAAGTTCAGTCTCAGACAGAAAGATTCCATCTAAGAATCCATATCGAGGTTCCTGCTACTACTTTTGTTGTTGTTGCAGTGTTTCATCACTAAAGGGATGTCCACATGTGCAGATTGTTGATGTAGTTAGGAAGAGAAAAAAGAGCAAAAATAAACAAAAGCTGCGACAAACTGTGTGCATACTCAAATTCCACAGTGATCTTTTCTATTAAGGAATCCTAGATTCACAAGAACTGGGGTTCTTAGATGGATCTAAGGGAATAGTAAAGGAATAAAATGGTTATGGGACATTCTCTCATCCACATGATTTATAGACCAATCCTGCAATCCCCTATGTGTTATATTCTTTTAAAACCCCTTTCACTCCGTAGCCAAACTTTGCAGTAGAGAAATCCAACAGTTAATTACATGCTGTATGTATGAAGAAGAGTGCTCTTATAGAAATTTATTAAGAGAAGAGGGAGGAGAGTTTAAATTGAAAGAATTTGAGGACTTGAGAGGGCATAACATTGTTAGTTGTTTAATGTATGATTATTGTATTTTTATTTCTGGAGAGTAGTAAATGGGGTATTTTATGACTCCAGGGACAGAACAACTTGGCAAGCTTTGAGTACTGTACCTCTGTATTTGGGACAATTGTTGTTTTGCGATTTCAAAATATCTTGGTTCCGTCCTACCTTCTCTCATTACTGAATGACCTGCCCCTTTTTCTTGCACTGAAAAAGAAACTACCCTTTTCTTCCTCAGATACAGAGAGTGCACCATTCCATCCCGTGGAAGGAATAAAGCACTAGCAAATGTAATGTTTCTGAAGAACCCTTGATCAGGCAGAAAATATATCTGCAAGACTTGCACCTCTTTCCAAGATTTTTTGCCAGGAGGAACACGCTGATGAATGTCACATGCTGCTCTGAATTCCGGGAAGGATCTGTTGGATCTGCAATGTCCTCATTCCAGTCCCAAGCAGATGGAGAGTTTGACACACACACACACAACTACAGCTTTCCGTTTACAGTTGCCTTGACATAGACACAGACACTTGTGGTCCAAGACATCTGCCCATATCTCCCTTTTAGTATAAGCATTAGATAGGAATCACAGCACTGTGATTGGAGAAAAAGGATAGCCCTGGTAAAATCAGTTCCTGATTGGAAGCTGTACTTCAAAGATAGGGAACTAGACCTGGGCCCAGATTGACAGGTGTATGGGTGCCCCACCTGTTGCTCACCTGGCATCATTATGACAGTAGGGCTGCCAATACCAACCAGAAAATTGGCACCAACAGCTTGCTTTGAAAGGAGAGGGCTTCCTTCCTTCCTTCCTTCCTTCCTTCCTTCCTTCCTTCCTTCCTTCCTTCCTTCCTTCCTTCCTTCCTTGATGAATTGCTACTTTGAGCATTATATTTGTGTTTATTACATTTATATACAACCCTTTTCTTCCAAGGAGCTAAAGGTGGTGCACATGGTTCTGTTCTTCACCATGTCATCCTTACAACAACCCTTTGAGGTAGGTTAGGTTGAGAGATGGTGACTGGCCCAGTGTCACCCAATGAGCTTCGTGGCTGAGTGGGGATTTGAACCCTGCAGTCTCCCAGGTCGTAGTCCAACACTCTAACCACTACACCACACTGGCTCTCAGGAGATGGCTTCTGGTCCCATCAGCTGATTGATGGTGAGAACAATCCTTTCAGAAGTCTCTGTGTAAGTGGATTGAATGCAAACCACTTGCAGACAGAAGTCAAAGGGCTGGTTCTCCACACTCATGAGACGATTGATAGTCCTTGTAAGTGGTTTACATTCAGACTGTGAATTTACTTCAGACTACTTAGGACATGAGCAGCAATCCAGTTAGGTCAAAAGGCAGGCAGTGTCGTCTTAGGTTTCATAAATAGGGAGTTAAGCCTGAGTTAAGCCTGACATGAGGGAACTGGTCCTTCGGATACTGTTGGACCCCCAACTCCCATCTCCCATGAATTTTGACTATGCTGAGTTCAGCAGATATGTATTAGTCCAATAATTTCGGGAGGGTCATTCCTGAGAAGTTATCCCCAGCATGAGTTACGCACTTCTCCATCTCTCCTTACAGGAATCGACTCAGACTTAACAGGCCTCTGTTTCCTAAGCTGCCATTGCTGCATATCAGTAACAAATAAATAAAACTGAGCTGCAGCCAATTCCAGAGGTGCATCTAGTTCAGCCCAGCCCAAATATCAGCCACACAATATTCACAAACAACTGCAGAGGTCTAGAAGGGTAGCAACCGATGAGGCGTATGTCTGTTGTTTTCTTGAAATATTCCCGCTTTCACAAAAAAGCCAGGAAACTGGGGTGGAGTGGGATGAGAAAAGAAGGTCTTGTCTTCAGCCCAGGAGGGAAGTTGCTACTATTGAAATTTAGCCAACTGGGCATAAAGAGTTGAAGGATAACAGTAACTACTCTTTTGGAATCCTTCCATTAGTCTTAAAAATCTATTTAATAGACAAACAAACAATCTGCCAAAAGGGGTGCTTCCTGAGTTTCTACTTTTCCGCCTGCTTCTGGATGTGGATCTTCACGGCCTTTTTCAATGCTGTGCGTCTCCTGATACCCACAAAGGTCCTGTTTTTCGTTTCTGGGACATACCGGAAGATATAAAAAATTGTGGCTACAGAGATAGGCCAGAAAAGAAGGAAAATGAAGGCTCCAATATATGCCTAGAGATGAAAGAAAAGGAGAGGGGAGGAAAGAATCAGAATCTTTTTATTCGCCTGTTGTACAAATATTCTCCTTGACTTTCTCCCACAAAGAGATCAAGACCACTCATCCTCTTACCCTTGCTGCCATATTTGCGCCAGATGGCAGTTCAGGATGAGGGGTAGATTGTGAAGCTCCTGGCATTTCTGCCCCATATTGGCCTGCCTCAGTTTTGCTTCATGCTGTCTTGCACATTGAGGGTTAGGACCTTCCTGCTGCTACCACTTGTCCCAGAACCTTGCCAGTCCACCCAAAAACCTAGCTAAGTCTTTCTTGCCTTGGAAGGTACTATTGGTCTTGGGGGTGGGGGAGGAGACTATGCAGAGTCCTCCCTGCTGTTGTGCTGCTCCCTAATTACTGAGTGACCTCTATCCTTATGACCAGGGCTGGCCCATGACATTTCGGCACCTGAGGCGAACCACAGAACAGCATACACATCCCACTGGGGAAGAAGGGGTGAGATCTGTATCAGGAACAGGGTCGTGGTGAAATAAAGATCTACATCAGGAAACCAGCAGCACCTCCTTTTTGCCAAGAGGTCAGTGTAGAGGTGGCATGGTGTGTGGCGGGGCCCAGATCCAGTCTCCAAGCTGTGCATGCTACAGCTGCTGCTGCCACCATACCTCTGTTGTAAGGAATAATGACTGGTGTCTCTCTTCCTTGTGGCGAGAGAAAACCAATCACAGTTATGAACACATAACACTGCCTTCTACAGAGACAGACTACTTGTCCATCTAACTTGCTATTGTCTATGCTGCCTGGAGGCAGCTCTACAGCTTCTCAGACAGAGATATTTTGAGGACTTCCGTGGAGGTGTCTGACGTTCATTCTGGGACCTTCTGCGTGCAAACCATGTGCTCTGTCAGTGAGATGTGGGTTATCACCTGACAGCAAGAGTGATTTGCCCAAAGACATGGGTTGCTCATGGGCTTCATGACCAACTGGGCATTTGAAGCCCAAGTCTGCCTACTAAATGTAGAAGCCGTGGCCACCTAGAAGTTGTAGGGTTTCAACTCCCATAAGCCCTAGCACGAATGGCCATTATGCAGAGATGTTAGAATTTACAACCCATCAACATCTAGAAGGGCAAAGTTTCCCCATCAATACACCGAACCCAGCTGACAAACGTATGCTGCATATTTCTGAAACAATCTAACATTCAGCTTTAACAAAACACACTGACTGGGTTGGGGAAGGGGAAGGAATAATGGCAGATAAATCAAAATCACTCTAAAGACTTGTGGGTTTGAAGGGGGACAATAATGGTGTGGGAAGGGGTAGAGCTTAGTTTAGTGGCTGAAAAGATGCGCTCTTTATCAAACTGACATTCAAAATCACTCACCTCCGCATAAATGGTTGTCATGTCTGCAAGATAGCTTGTTAACCAATGCACTATTCCTGCGATCACAAGGGCTGATGACCGAGATGACTGAAGAAACAACTCCATCACAATTACAGGTGGAATAGGACCTAAGTAGAGAGAAATGATTCAGAAACTGAATACCATCTTTTCACCTTTTGGGGGGAGTATCTATTGTATTCATATCTTTTGTATCATCTAAAGAGCACAGAACATCATCTGAGCACTTACCTGTTCCTAAGCCTTCTCCAAAGATGAACAAGAGGTCAACAACTGAGCTGAAATACACCATTTCTGGGAAGGTGGCCTGTTGAAGAAAGTAGGGTAGTATTTCCATTACATACTGGGGGTCATTTATACCTGGATTTCATGTGTCCATATTTAGGCAACATTTTCCACATGTAAAAGGTAAAGGACCCTGACAGTTAAGTCCAGTCGTGAAGGACTCTGGGGTTGCGCCGCTCATCTCGCTTTACTGGCTGAGGGAGCTGATGTTTGTCCGCAGACAGTTTTTCCGAGTCATGTGGCCAGCATGACTAAGTCGCTTCTGGAGAAACCAGAGCAGCGCACGGAAACACTGTTTACCTTCCCGCCAGAGTGGTACCTATTTATCTACTTGCACTTTGATGTGCTTTCGAACTGCTAGGTTGGCAAGAGCTGGGACCGAACAACAGGAGCTCACTCTGTCGCGGGGATTCGAACCGCGACCTTCCGATCATCAAGCCCTAGGCTTAGTGGTTTAGACCACAGCACCACCCATGTCTGAACATGTAGTCCCTCTCAAACAGCTCCTATTCTGCATGTTCCTCCCTGTAAATTCAGATTTCACAAATCCAAGGATAATCCAAATAAAAATAAAAAATACAACTCCATTCAAGGCAAAAGACACATCACCTCACTTTTTTCCCCAGTGGGATGAAGTATCCTTTTTGGCTACTCCCATTTCCACACACCCTACCTCCCCATAACACCAATTCTGTGTGGGTAGCAGTGGCACCTATTTTTATGATCTCTGCTGTTTTGTTTCTCATTTTTATTTTTATTTTAATCAGATTTGTGCAATTCAGGAACTGAAAAATGATGAATTCTCCAGATCTCCCTGCTTCATTCTCTCCCCCCCCCCTTTACCATTGATTATAATAATCTTCCTGTTTTGGTACTGAAAATGCCTATCTTTGGGGGATTGAACGTAAAATGAAGTATGCCATAGAAGTTTGCAATGAATTGGGGATGTTTGGATATGCGCTCTCTGTGCTATTGTGACAAATGCAATTTCTTTGAAAATGCTCATTGTCGTCTTAGCTGATTCCTGCATGTATGCCCAGTTTGTGAAAAATCAACACATTCTTAAAAAAGGAACCTGGAAGACAGGACAAAGACAAAAGGAAATGCCAGCTGGTACTAATGGGAACGAGTGGATTTTTTCTTCGATTCCAACCGCAAATGTACATGTGTGTGTAGGAAACATGGATTCAAACAGAGGAAACATGGATTCCACATGAGATTAGGCTCAAATGTGGATGAACCCTTAATGTCAGGTGTCCTTCATGTAGCTCAGGGGCAATCAATGTGGCATCCTCCAGATGTTGCTGGATCATAATTCACATCATCCCTAATCATTCCCCATGCTGGTTGAGGCTGATGCAAACTGGAATCCAACATCTGGAGTATAGGAACTCTTGATACATCCCATATTTGCAACTGCCACCTCTTAAAAAATATTTCATTTATTTGCTTTTCTGATAACATTCCACATCAATAAAGCATAAACAAAAATGATACAAAAAAGAAATATAGTTCCTTTCAGAGATTCAGAAAACATTCATTGACTTCCTATCTTCTCTTTCCATGGTTCTTGGAAACTTCTGTTGTTATTAACCCTAGCAGTAGTGCTTCTGGGTTTTTAACAAAAGGTTTCTTTTAAATCATTTCCCAATAATTTTAAATTATGCTGCATGACCACCACATGTGGTAGAAGGTTCCTTCTGTTGTTTTATACTTCCAACAGTTACCTTTTATTGATTTTGACATTTTTGCTAATCTGTTGGTTGTCAGATACCACCTATGCTATATCTTCATAATTTTTTTCTATTAAGCAATTACCATCTCTTATTCCATAGAACTGCTGGCCCAAGGAGTGAAGATCTCTTTGAGAGCTCTTGCCTTGGAGTGGAACACCCACCTGACTTTCACAGGGAAGATCAGAAAATGGAAAATATTTCAAGAAAGTAAATGTTCTGTCACATCTACTGCCTACTTGCCCAGTACTTTGGAGCTGTTACAGAGGAAGGAACAAGAGGCAAAGAGCAGAACCCTTAGTCATTCTCAGTTCCAAATGCCACCAGTCACAAACCTGTAGTTCCAGGCTCAGGGTTAACAGAACACAGGAAATGATACTCATTCCAAAGCCAATGAGAAGCATCAACCTGTGCCCCTTGGAATCAGCGAGATAGGCCTAAAGAGTATAAAGAGAAAGAAAAAGATCTTCTTAGCTACAAGCTAGTTAGCTTATGCCTTTACCTGTACAGCTGGCAGAAAGCACTATTAAAGATAAAATTAAAAGCATATATACGAACAAGTCATGCTGAAGAAATCCTAGCTTGGTTTCTCTCCCTGCTAACGACACTTTTGGATTTCTTTGAGAGTGTCAGTATAAGAAAACATAAACGATGCATATTGGGGCAATTCTCCCCATTAAAATCTCCCCACTACACGGTGGGCAGCTCAAGGAAAATGTTGTCCCCAGCACATGGCAGCTGTGAAAAAAGTGAATTCTCTGTAAGGGATCAACAGGGAGGAGACTGAAGATAAAACTCCTGAAGTAATAATGCCATTAGACAAAATTTTCACAACAGCAATATCACAGCATTGGAAAAGGTGTAGAAGAGTCCAGCCATGATTATAAGGTCAAATAGTTCAGTTGCTTAAAGTATGGTGCTGATAACAGCAAGGTTGCAGGTTTGATCCCCATATGGGACAACTGCATATTTCTGCATTGCAGGAGGTTGGACTAGACTCAGGATGCTGTGATTCTATGAAGTAACTCCCCGGTTTGGAAAGAGTTGAACATTGGGGCAGGAGATTCGTTTGGGGGGGGAGCAAAGCAAGGGGGCACATGGTAGAGGTGTACAGAGATATCTTAGCTAGCAGTCTTTAGGTAACAACTGCATCCCAGGCTTAGGTAATTAGTTATCCAACCCCAGCTCAGCCAATGATATAAGTTGGCAGAACTGGGGGCAGTGTAAGTTCCAAAAAAGGGGATATTCTGGGTGTGTGGCAGGGATGGGACCAGAGAGTGATGACTTAAGCACATTCAGCCCAGTCATGTGACCTGGCAATGTGGCGTAGAGTGCTATTTTAAAGGCTTGTTTAACAACAACAACAACAACAACAACAACAACAACATTTTATTATTTATACCCCACCCATATGACTGAGTTTCCCCAGCCACTCTGGGCAGCTCACAGCACATATCAGAACATACTAAAACATCAAACATTGAAAACTTCCCAATACAGGGAAGCCTTCAGATGTCTTCTAAAAGTCAGTTGTTTCCTTGACATCTGAATGGAGGGTGTTCCACAGAGAGGGTGACTCTACTGAGAAGGCCCTCTGCCTCGTTCCCTGTAACCTCACTTCTCACAGTGAGGGAGCCAGTGGAAGAACCTTGGAGGAGGATCTCAATGTCTGGACTTAACGATGGGGGAGGAGACGCTCCTTCAGGTTTACTGGGCTGAGGCCATTTAGGGCTTTAAAGGTCAGTGCCAACACTTTGAATTGTGCTCAGAAATGCAATGGGAGCCAATGAAGATTCTTTAGAACCTGTGTTATATGGTCCCAGTGACCACTCTCAGTAACCAGTCTAGCTGCTGTATTCTGGATTAGTTGTTTGTTTCTGGGTCACCTTCAAAGGTAGCCCCACATAGAGCGCATTGCAGTTTCCCCTCTGCCATGGTTAAGCAGAGCAGCAGCAACCCTAAAATTGGATGTCATGTACCTTGACCCCATGTAAATGTACACTGGCTTGCTCTACACCAGCTTCTTCTGTATAGGATTGCTCCCTTCTGCTTTCTCAAAGGATCTTGGGAACTGCAGTTCTATGATAGAAGGATGTGAATTTTCTTTTCTATCTCAAAATAATAATAACATCAAACATATTAACATCAAACATATTAAAACATATTAAAATAATAACATCAAACATATTAAAACAAATTTGAAAAGGGATTTTTCTTTTAAATAATAATAATAATAACCTGCTTCAGTCAACTTGCAGTTTCCATGAACCACATTTAAATCTATGGAGTTCTCTTACAAAGAAGAATGAGGGAACCTTCATAGACCTACAATTCCCATGATTTATTGAGGGCGGAGGAAGCTGTTGCACCATAAATAGCCATGGAAGGGATGTAAACAGTCGCAGCAAAGACCAGTCCTTTTAAGAAGACTGATTTTCAAGAATTAGAAAGCAAGAGAATAAAAATCTGGGGAGGCTTACCGTAAATGCGGTTGCACAACAATAAAAAACAATTCCGCCTATAACAGTCAGCTGGATGTTATCTGTTTCTACTCCCATAGCCAGGTAGATTCTTTGTGAGTAATAGTATGCCTGAAATCAGACCAACACAATGGAAAGCCTTGAGTGACTGGAAGAAACAACTGGTGGTCACCTAAGGTTATTAGAAATTGAAGACTCCACTTTGGGCTAATGTGAGAAACAGGATGTTGAACTCAGTGTTCTGATTCTGCAATGTTCTTTCTCTCTCTCTCTTTGGACTGAACCTTGTATGTCAGCTGCTCTTAGTCTAGAAGATAAACTACTTCCGGGTTCCTTGCGACCCAGTGTGGTGTAGTGGTTAGAGTGGTTAGACTAGAACCTGGGAGCCAAGGGTTCAAATACCCACTTGCCCATGAAGCTCACTGGGTGATCTTGGGACAGTCAATGCCTTCACACAGATACAGGGAAATACTGAGCACAATTTATCATTTATATGGGGCAGGACTTACTTGCCCCCCTCCCAATTTTTTTTTTTTTATTGACACCTATGTTTCCAGGAGAACATGACCATTCATGATGGAAGAGACAGCCAGATGTTTTGGGACAAATCCACCCATTATTCCACCCATTATTGTTGATGACTGCTTTGGTTATATTTGTTGTTATGTATTATTTTATAAGTTGTAAGCTGCCTTGAGCATGGATTTAACAAATAAAATGAGTGAGTGATTCCTAATCATTAGCCATGCTGGCTGGAGGTGATGGGAACTGGGGTCCAACAACATTGGCTGGGCCACAGATTTCACAGTAGGGTGGGGTGGATAGTCCCAGCCCCTGGAATAGAATCCGGAGAACAAAACAGCTCCCTTGGTGAAAAGATCTAGGGCATTCCTCGAGACAAAAAGTGATAACTGGTGCCTCTGAACTTGGTTTGAAATGGACCCTCATTTTACCAGGCTCACCCTCCTAACATTTTAGGATTTTGCTTTCCTTACCGAATTGAGGGCATTGAGGTGTTCTCCACCAATCAAGGCAACTATGGGGAACACTTCTCGTCGTAGGCTTGGGGTCCTCAGCAGTTTTAGAGGATTCATATTCTTTTCTTGCTTCTCAGTGATGTCCTCTAGCTTCAGCTCTTGAATCTCATCCTCCACATCATCCCTTTCTCTTAGCTTCTTCAGTGCTGGATTAGAAAGGATTAGACGTCAAAGGAGGAAAATTCCCCAATAGCATATGAATCACTATGGCTAACCTGACCCAGCAACCAACCCTCCTGCCTCAACAAACAAGCCACAATGCAGTCAACTGAATGCAGCCAACCAAGCTCGGGACCCCCTAATCTCTCACTTTAGAAGAAGAAGAAGAGTTTGGATTTGATATCCTGCCTTTCACTCCCTTTAAGGAGTCTCAAAGCGGCTAACATTCTCCTTTCCCTTCCTCCCCCACAACAAACACTCTGTGAGGTGAGTGGGGCTGAGAGACTTCAAAGAAGTGTGACTAGCCCAAGGTCACCCAGCAGCTGCAGGTGGAGCAGCGGAGACGCCAACCCAGTTCACCAGATTACGAGACTACCGCTCTTAACCACTACACCACACTAGCTCACTTTAACAATAAAATGAAATACATAAACAAAGGACCTACCCATATGATGCTGACACAAACCTACTAAACTAAAAATAAGCAATAGAACAAAAAAACAACAACACCCACATCTCTCTCCCCCTCCCTTTTCCCCAAATGCAAAAGTGTTTCTCACTAGATGTAAATGAACTGTGAAAAAGACTATGAATTGAAATTGGAGGCAATAGATGTACGTTTCCCTCTTTATCTGTTTTGTAATATAAAAAACTTGAATAAAAATTAAAGTACATGGCTAGGCATAAGCTAAGACATTGTCTGAATGCCTGCCAGGGCCCCTTGGCTCTCATTTTGAAAAACTGGGTGGGCACAGTCATTTGAATAGTTCTTGTTCCAAGTGATGGGCAAACAAGAAGGCACTTCAACAAGTAGGCTGAGTCTGTTTGTTGCAGTGCATCTGACAGTGTGTCCTTGGACACTGGGCCTGAATCTGTATGGCCAGCTCACTGTCCAACTCAAGTTTTGTGTATCTCTGGTTGCTGGAGCAATCTGTGCCTCCTCCACTAGGATGTCCAACACCAGTGGAGTACAAATGTCTCCAAGCAGACTGCTTCCCAGCAACAGACACAGAGAGCAGATCCCATTCCTCCTCTCCCTGTGAGCAGCCCTGCCACAACATCTCCATGTGGTTCATGGCAATGGGTTGTAGTTTAAATCCTATTCAGAGTAAACCTATTGAAATCAATGTACCTAGGTTAGTCATGTTTATTTACTTCATTGAATCTGCGAGACTCCTTACGAGGTCTTCACTGCGAGATCACATTCACCCGGTGCTATACCAGCTGCACTGGCTCCCGGTGGAGTACAGGATCAGGTTTAAGGTGCTGGTTTTAACCTTTAAAGCCCTATACGGCCTAGGACCCTCGTACCTACGGGACTGCCTCTCCTGGTATGTCCCACAAAGAAACTTACGGTCTTCAAATAAAAACATCTTGAAGGTCCCAGGCCACAGAGAAGTTAGGCTGGCCTCAACTAGAGCCAGGGCTTTTTCGGCTGTGGCTCCGATCTGGTGGAACACTCTGTCACAAGAGACCAGGGCCCTGCGGGACTTGACATCTTTCCGCAGGGCCTGCAAGACAGAGCTGTTCCACCAGGCCTTTGGCCAGGGCACAGCCTGACTCCCTCCCTTGGCAATCTTCGCGGAGCTCTCGCCCAATGGTTGCCAGTGGCTTGGATTAATTAATTTTATAATGAATGATTTTAGAATGTTGTTTATGCTGTACTTTTGTACTGTTTTATTGTTGTTAGCTGCCCTGAGCCCGGCTTCGGCTGGGGAGGGCAGGATATAAATAAAATTTATTATTATTATTATTATTATTATTATTATTATTATTATTATGAGTAGGACTAGTATTGGATTCCACCTCACGTGTATCTGCTTTGTTACAGAATGGTTGTTGATAACTCTATATTAAGAAGATTAATAGAAACTGTACAATTCAGAATATTTTACCTTGTCTTGCACTCTCTACATCCTTCCTCTGGATGAAAAGATACCTAGGACTTTCAGGAAGGTAGGGCAGCATGAAACTCTGAAGTACTGGCATGATTACAGGAAAGGTTGCCAGAATTGGGATACCTAAGCAAGGAGATAGTGTGGTGATAATGCGGGGGGGAACTGTGCTGGAACATTTTATATGCTGTAAGCCAAAATATTAATTCTTTTGAATTACCTCGTGGGTCCCCAAGAAGTTGCTGAAGAGCAAGTATCTCAAACAACAGATAACCGAGAGAAGAAAACAGATGATGCATCATGGTTATGCCTCCCCTCAGGCTTTTAGGGGAAATCTCAAGAAGATACAGTGGGACAACACCGAAGGTTATTCCTGGTTCGATGATAAATTAAAGCACAATTCACAATGAGTGTGTGGCATAATGTGCAGAAATGTATAAACAAGTGTATGATTTCAAGGGATACTTCACAATATGCACATGATGTGATGTGCAGAAATGCATAGGCATGTCTGCATGGCACAGCGAGTCACATTTTTGCTGCATAAGATGCACCTGAGCATAAGATGCACCTATTTTTTAGAGGGGGAATGCAAGTGAAAAAAATTCTTTAAAGAGAGCACTGAGCAGAGCCTGTAGGCATCCCAGGCTCTGCTCAGCGCTTCCTTTCACGAGCCGCGTGGAGCATGTGTGCGGCGCTTGCAAGCTTTTCCCCAAGGAGGGAGGAGGGCAGCCCATCACTGACGGGCTGCCCTTCTCCCTCCTCAGGGAAAAGCCCCCAAGAGCCACACACACACACACTGTGCAGCTCTTGGGGGCTTTTCCAGGAGGTGGGGGAAGGGACTGAGGGGCTAAGCCAGAAGCTAGAACAGCAAGAGGGAGCGCTGCACAGTGATCCCTCTCATTGTTCTGGCTTCTGGGATAGCAGCGCAGACTGCATTCACTCCATAAGACGCACACACATTTCCCCTTACTTTTTAGGAGAGAAAAAGTGCATCTTATAGAGCGAAAAATACAGTAGGTAGATTCCTATGATGTCATGATGTCCCCTGTGGGTTTCTGCAAAATGCCATTCTGTCCTTCACAACTTGTATGTATGGCCAGTGGGTCAAACTGCAAGGTGAGATGGCATTTGACACCATAGATATGAAGATTTTGCCCACTTGTAAGCAAAATTGAGCACAGAAAGTCAGGGTCCTGAATGAACACAGAAAGGTGTTCTCAGCTGCTGCCTCTCAACTTTGAAAATTTCTTTCCCATGCTCCTTGCCAAAGCCAGAGCATTTGACACCATAAATATGATGGTGCATTTAAGCCAGCTCCACTGAACACACTCAGCGCAGTTGGCAGAAGGGCCAAAGGAAGAAGAAGACCAAAGACTGAAGATTGTGGATCTCAGATCATGGATGGAGTCCTGTCTCATTGGACTGGTTGCCAAAAGCCTGAAATGGGTGCAACCTTCCTGCAGGAGGCTGGAACGGACATACAGTATGCCCAATGCCTGAGCCAAAGTTCCACCTACATCTGTAGCCAATAAAGTTGTGGCCATTTTTAAACTAGATCGTTGTCTGAGTTCATCTTATCACTCCTTAATAAACAACTATATGACATCTAGAAGACATCTGAAGGCAGCCCTGTTTAGGGAAGTTTTTAATGACTGATGTTTTAATGTATTTTTAACCTTCTGTTGGAAGCCGCCCAGAGTGTCTGGGGAAACCCACCCAGATGGACGGGGTAGAAATAACCGCCTTGCAACGGGCCTTCTTTTTCTTTTCTTTTTTTAAAAAAGCAAGATGTTGAATCCAGGACCCTGACTCACCTGAACATATTCCACTATAGAAGAAGGTGAAGAGGATGCATCCATAGAATCTAAACTTACGCGAAAAAAGCAATACCACAGTAGAGGTAATGCTTAAAAAGTTAGTTATCACTAACGCACCTTTCCTGTAAAGACAGTAAAAGGAGATTGGGGGTGCGATACCAGGGAATGTAAGGTACAGTCAAAAGACCAGACAATTGAGAAAAACTATGGAATTGTAATACAGTCGATAATGTTTGGGCAATAATTTCTTTTGGTTTTGCTAGTTTTGAAAACAGACAAAAAGTACCCAAGGCACTGAAGTTCCCACTGCCAAGCCTGGTAAAATTGCCCAGGAACCGTCCCCCCCCCCCACCTACAGATTTCAGGAGACATTGCTCAAAGAATATATATATATATATATATATATATATATATATATATATATATATGCTTTCGTAGATTTTCACGGGTACAGGAATGCAGGTTTTGGTGTCCTCGGGTGTCTTCCCGTGTAAAAGTTGGGGTGTCTAGGCGACGTTTCGACGAGGTCTCACTCGTCATCTTCAGGCTGGTGCTTTCGGCTTCTTGTTACTGGAACAGAGCAGGATCTCAGTGTTTGAGTTCCTATAAATACTGTTGAGGAGGTGTGGTGTATAGCCTCCAATGTTCTGGGCAGAGAGGAAGTTCCCAGGCTAGTGTGCCTTTTCTTCTTTTGTTCCTTAATTACTTGAGGGATATCTGGAGTGATTTCTTGAGTGATATCCTGAGTACCACTTGGGTGGGTCATTAGGTGTGGATTAGTTGCTAAAGCCTTCGTGTCTTGACCTCTTGAACTTGGCTTGAACTTGGCTCTGGCTTGGCTTCGTGTATAGGGGCGAGCTGTGGTTTTGTGGCCTGTGCCAGCCAGATCTGTGTAGGGATTGCAGGGGGGTGCAGCATCCGGAGGTGCCACCATGGTTTGGCTACTGGATGGTGTCTGTAATTTATCTGTGGAGAGGGTCTGGGTTTGGGTCTGGTGTGGTTGATTGGTGATGGCGTTCTGTGTGCCTCTGGATCTGGTGTCGGTTTTTGTGGGGAGGGCTAATTTCCAGATGTCTGGCAGGCGGGATGTGTCGTCACGCTTGTTCATGTTGTGAGGGTGTTTCTCTATCTCGATGGCTTCCATGATTATTCTCTTGTGGTGATGTTCCATGTTAGAGAGCAATTTGGAATCTGCAAAATTAATTTCGTGTCCTGTTTCTTTCATGTGTTGGAAAAGAGAGGAAGTTTTTTCTTCTTTTTTGACGGCATTCTTGTGTTCTGCGATACGTGCATTTATTCGTCTGTTTGTTTGTCCAATGTACGTGGCTGGGCAGACTTTGCAGGGTATTTCATAGACCCCTTGGTTTTCCAACTGGATTTTATCCTTGGGGTTTCTGAGGATATTGGCTATTTTTTGGTTGGTGCAAAAGGCTGTTTTGATATTGTGTTTATGGAGGATTTTGCTGATTTTATCTGTAGTGCCCTTGATATAAGGAAGGAGGGCCATGCCATTGTTTTCTTCTGTGTCTTGGTTTTTGGGGGGTGTTTCTTTTTGCATTAGCTTCGTAACCCTGTTTTGCTGGTATCCATTGGCGATTAACACATTGGAGAGATTCTGTAACTCAGTTGTCAAGTGGTCTTTGTCAGCCAGGCGTTTGGTTCTGGAGATGAGAGTCTTGGCTACGGAGTTTATTTGTGCAGGGTGGTGGTGTGATTGTGCATGTAAGTAGCGGTTGGTGTGTGTTTTTTTCCGGTAGATAGTGTGTCCTAGGGAGCCATCAGGTTTTTTGTAGATTAGGACGTCAAGGAAGGGAAGTTGGTTGTTGGCTTCTATTTCCATAGTGAATTGTATTTTGGGGTGTAGGCTGTTGAGATGTGTGAGGAAGCTATCTAGTTTTTCCTTCCCGTGTGGCCAAATTACAAAGGTGTCGTCAACATATCTGAGCCAAAGTTTGGGTTTGTGTTCTGACTTGTCTAAAGCATTGGTTTCAAAGTGTTCCATGTACAGGTTAGCGATGACCGGTGAGAGGACACCTTTGTAATTTGGCCACACGGGAAGGAAAAACTAGATAGCTTCCTCACACATCTCAACAGCCTACACCCCAAAATACAATTCACTATGGAAATAGAAGCCAACAACCAACTTCCCTTCCTTGACGTCCTAATCTACAAAAAACCTGATGGCTCCCTAGGACACACTATCTACCGGAAAAAAACACACACCAACCGCTACTTACATGCACAATCACACCACCACCCTGCACAAATAAACTCCGTAGCCAAGACTCTCATCTCCAGAACCAAACGCCTGGCTGACAAAGACCACTTGACAACTGAGTTACAGAATCTCTCCAATGTGTTAATCGCCAATGGATACCAGCAAAACAGGGTTACGAAGCTAATGCAAAAAGAAACACCCCCCAAAAACCAAGACACAGAAGAAAACAATGGCATGGCCCTCCTTCCTTATATCAAGGGCACTACAGATAAAATCAGCAAAATCCTCCATAAACACAATATCAAAACAGCCTTTTGCACCAACCAAAAAATAGCCAATATCCTCAGAAACCCCAAGGATAAAATCCAGTTGGAAAACCAAGGGGTCTATGAAATACCCTGCAAAGTCTGCCCAGCCACGTACATTGGACAAACAAACAGACGAATAAATGCACGTATCGCAGAACACAAGAATGCCGTCAAAAAAGAAGAAAAAACTTCCTCTCTTTTCCAACACATGAAAGAAACAGGACACGAAATTAATTTTGCAGATTCCAAATTGCTCTCTAACATGGAACATCACCACAAGAGAATAATCATGGAAGCCATCGAGATAGAGAAACACCCTCACAACATGAACAAGCGTGACGACACATCCCGCCTGCCAGACATCTGGAAATTAGCCCTCCCCACAAAAACCGACACCAGATCCAGAGGCACACAGAACGCCATCACCAATCAACCACACCAGACCCAAACCCAGACCCTCTCCACAGATAAATTACAGACACCATCCAGTAGCCAAACCATGGTGGCACCTCCGGATGCTGCACCCCCCTGCAATCCCTACACAGATCTGGCTGGCACAGGACACAAAACCACAGCTCGCCCCTATACACGAAGCCAAGCCAGAGCACAACTAATTGCAGTACAGCCATCTTCTCAGAAAAACTCTTCACAAAGTTCAAGAGGTCAAGACACGAAGGCTTTAGCAACTAATCCACACCTAATGACCCACCTAAGTGGTACTCAGGATATCACTCAAGAAATCACTCAAGATATCCCTCAAGTAATTAAAGAACAAAAGAAGAAAAGGCACACTAACCTGGGAACTTCCTCTCTGCCCAGAACATTGGAGGCTATACACCACACCCCCTCAACAGTATTTATAGGAACTCAAACACTGAGATCCTGCTCTGTTCCAGTAACAAGAAGCCGAAAGCACCAGCCTGAAGATGACGAGTGAGACCTCGTCGAAACGTCGCCTAGACACCCCAACTTTTACACGGGAAGACACCCGAGGACACCAAAACCTGCATTCCTGTACCCGTGAAAATCTACGAAAGCATATATATATATATATATATATATATATATATATATATATATATATGCTGCCATCCTAGGTAAATTCTCTTATTTGGAGGACAGTGATGAAAGAGCATGAAATATTCTGCATGGAAACATATGCTCTACAATTGACATGGCCCTTTCCCCATTGGCATACTAGAAAATCTGCACACTCATAGTAGGTCTTACGCCAGATACAGCATTACTTAAAACCACATTGGTAGGATTATCTTGTATCTGGAGGGTGTCTTCCCACCTTCTTAAAAACAAAGTTTCATTACCTGACTAATGGTCATCAAATAGGATTTGAGGCACCTCATTAGATCATACTCTTTCTTTCCCTGCCACATCCCTCTCTGAAATGGCTAGTAATAGGGGAAGGTGATCTGACATCACTTAATTTCCCTCCTGAGTTTCCCTTTACATGTGGTTGAATGTCCTGGGCACGGGGAATGAAACCAGCAATAGTGATGACATTGTATCTTTTATTTGATGTTACGGGGGGGGGCATGTAGGTCAGCACCACCACCACCACCATGACAATCATAGAATCATAGAATTGCAGAGTTTGAAGGGACCCTGAAGTCATCTAGTCCAACCCCCTGCAAAGCAGGAAAGCAGGACTAGTGTAGTTTACCTGTCACGTGTTTATTTTTATACCTGCCAAATCTCTCCACCAACCAGCCAACAGCAAGGGCCCCAGCAATGTTTCCAAAGAACAAGAACGTCGTTTCAGTTGCGACCAGGCTTATCGCAGAAATTTCGACCTGCATCTCAGTATATCCTGTTAAGTTAAAAAACTCCTGAATGTCCTGTGAGAGAAACACATAACGCTCAGGATTAGGACCCCTCTAACAGATTACGTGACAGGAAAAGCTAAGAGCACCAGAGCTGTAGGAAACCCTCAAGAGCACGGCCAGTCAGCCAAGCCCACATTGCCACATTGCTGACTTAGTTCTGTCCACAGAATGGGAGATGGAAGAATCCCGAAGGACAAGCTCTAAGGGGAGCTAGTTTTATCTTGTATGTTTACAGGTGTGCCCTGAGATCTACAAATGAAGGGAAGTATAATAATAATAATAATAATAATAATAATAATAATAATAATAATAATAATAATGGGGTGGGCGGGTGTGGGGGATTCCTTGGTCCTGAATGGGGTAACTGTGCCCCTAAAGGACCAGGTGTGTAGCCTGGGAGTCATTTTGGACTCACAACTGTCCATGGAGGTGCAGGTTAATTCTGTGTCCATGGTGGCTGTCTACCAGCTCCACCTGGTACGCACGCTAAGACCCTACCTGCCCGCGGACTGTCTTGCCAGAGTGGTTCGTGCTCTAGCTATCTCCCGTTTGGACTACTGCAATGCACTCTACGTGGGGCTACCTTTGAAGGTGACCCGGAAACTGCAATTAATCAAGAATGCAGTAGCTAGACTGGTAACTGGGAGTGGCCGCCGGGACCACATAACACTGGACCTGAGAGATCTGCATTGGCTCCCAGTAAGCTTCCGAGCACAATTCAAAGTGTTGGTGATGACCTTTAAAGCCCTAAATGGCCTTGGTCCTGTATACCTGAAAGAGCATCTCCACCCCCATCGTCCAGCCCAGACACTGAGATACAGGGCCGAGGGCCTTCTGGCGGTTCCCTCATTGCAAGAAGTGAGGTTACAGGGAACCAGAGGGCCTTCTCGGTAGTGGCGACCACCCTGTGGAACACCCTCCCTTCAGATGTGAAGGAAATAAGCAGCTATCCTATCTTTAAAAGACATCTGAAGGTAGCCCTGTTCAGGGAAGTTTTTAATATTTAATGCTGTACTGTTTTTAACATTTGATTGGGAACCGCCCAGAGTGGCTGGGGAAACTCAGCCAGATGGGTGGGGTATAAATAAATTATTATTATTATTATTATTATTATTATTATTATTATTATGCTCTGCAGTCCTTGTTTGTTCATTTATTCAGAAACAGCCTGCTTCTGATGCGGGTTGCATTCATAACTTGACCATAATGGTCTCTCAATTTTTTTATACAGAATATTTTTTTTTAAGGCTCAGACTAAAAATCGACGTAGCTTACAAATTATAGGTCACCTACAACACAGGCAAATCCAGTGGTGGTGGTTTGAATTACAGTGGAGCAGTTGGAAGGGATATGGGGTGAAATGGAATGGAAGCCGTGCATTTTCACTGTGCATCCATGTACAGGAAGATTTGCATGCATGTGCAGCAGGGGCCAGATGAAACCCTCACCCTAGTCAGAGATTGAGCTCTTCTAGAGCAGGGGTGGGGACCTTTATCATCCCATAAGATGCATCCTGCAATAAGCAGCATTTCAGGGGCCGCATTCTGGCAGTCAGATTTTATCATGCTTTGTGTTAAAGTTTCATTTGATTGCTCTAAGAGAGGAGGAGGAGGAGGAGGAAGAAGAAGAAGAAGAAGAAGAAGAAGAAGAAGAAGAAGAAGAAGAAGAAGAAGAAGAGGAGGAGGAGGAGGAGGAGGAAGAGGAGGAGGAGGAGGAGGAGTTTGGATTTGATATCCTGCCTTTCACTCCCCTTCAGGAGTCTCAAAGCGGCTAACATTCTCCTTTCCCTTCCTCCCCCACAACAAACACTCTGTGAGGTGAGTGGGGCTGAGAGACTTCAGAGAAGTGTGACTGGCCCAAGGTCACCCAGCAGCTGCATGTGGAGGAGCGGAGACGCGAACCCGGTTCCCCAGATTATGAGACTACCGCTCTTAACCACTACACCACACTGGCTCTCAGTGTGATTATCCATTCTAGCAAGCAAGGAGGTATTGCAACAGTTCCAGCCTGGCAAAAGGAAATGTGAGGCAGGACTGATGAGAGGATTCACCTAGTGACTTCCCAAGGGCCAGAGAGAAAGAGGTTTTGGTGGCATGAAGTTCCCATCTTGTTGAGCTCATATATGAAGCTTTAGAAAAGAGGAATCCCCGCCCTCCCTCTGCAAAAACAAATTTATGGTCAAGTAACAGAGTAAACCCCTTCATGAATCACTGGCTTGTCATGGTGAAGAGGCTTGAATAACTCAGAGAAGCTATGAGCTATGCTGTGCAGGGCCACCCAAGACGGACAGGTCATAGCCGAGAGTTTAGACTAAATGTGATCCACCTGGAGAAGGAACTGGCAATCCACTCCAGTATTTTGACAAGAAAACTCCATGGACATAAAAAAGGAGAAGCTTTGAGAAGAAAATGAGAGTTTCCAAGGCATGCTCTGGTTCATGGGGTCATGGAGAGTCGAACGACTATGACAACTAAACAACAACAAAAACAGAGTAAAAGTGTGCTTAAAATGAATCCACTATTAAATGTAACAGTCAAAAAATGGATTATATTAAGGAGAAATTGCTTGCACAAATCTATACAGTAGTCAAAACGTAAGACAAAAAATGAGAAAGATTATTAGAAAAAATATTAAAGAGTTTTCTTTTCACTCAAAAAATCAGCATCTCGCTGCAGAAAGGTGGGAGACTAAATCTAAGATTGGGAAAATGAGAAACTGTTGAAACTGAAACTGGAAGATCCTTTCACCCCTAACCATCAAATTACCCTGGACAAAATGTGGCCCTCAACAGCGCAAAAAAAGCCCCCAGCCCTACTGTAACCCCTGTATTAAAAAACCATCTCCACTGCATGCCATCTTACCATAGATGAAGAGAAGAGTACCCCCATACTGAAACCGTCATGCTGTGATAGGAGGCAGGAAGCCAATGAAACCCAAATAAGCATCTTTGACAGGTCCTACAGAAAGGAGCAGCATATACTGTGAGGAGAATGTACAGGTCAAAATACATGTGGACAGCTTCTGACATAGAACAGGGGTCAGCAAACTTTTTCAGCAGGGGGCCGGTCCACTGTCCCTCAGACCTTGTGGGAGGCTGGACTATATTTTTTTGGGTGCGGGGGGATGAACCAATTCCTATGCCCCACAAATAACCCAGAGATGCATTTTTAATAAAAGGACACATTCTACTTGTGTAACAACACGCTGATTCCCGGACCATCCACGGTCCGGATTTAGAAGGCGATTGGGCCAGATCCGGCCCCTGGGCCTTAGTTTGCCTACCCATGATATAGAAGTTCTATAAGCTTGTGGGTGTACTTTCTGTGCCATTGGGTTCTCTCATTGTGTGGATCCCATGTTTCAGATGTCAACACTCTGTGTGGACAGCAGGAGCACAGGGATAGATGTAGCACTGGGGGAAGAGGCAGAGAGCTACTCCCTGATGCACCTGGGATTGCCCTACACCTATTTAACAACACATGAATAGGGCTAGTGTCTACCACACTGTTCCTCTGCATCCTAACACTGAGGGCACATTGTTTCTGGTATCTTGCTGGAAGCACCCAAGTCATAATTAGCATATTACTAGTTTATTTCTCATGTTTCTCCCCACTTGGACCATCAAGGTCCATTGCAACTCCCATCACATCCCCAGAAAGCATGGATGTTCCTGGAAATATTCCTAAATACACTGTAAATACTGGAAATATGACATCCAGATTCCAAAAGGGACCACATTTAGTTGGAAATGAGAAGCTACATGTTCTTTGTCTCCACCCCATCTTACCCTACCCACTTGTTCAAATTTTCAAATTTGTCTTCTCTGTTTCTTGATCTGCAAAAATTGGTACCTGGAATCGATTTATATTCAATTAGCAAAAAGCATTTTTAAAGGGCTTCCCATGTTCACTCAAGCTCCAAAATACTGGGAAATTGAAACTGGGTGACTTGAGCTGGGTGACTTTGTACAACAGAGCCGATACAACAGAAGCTGCCAATACAACTCTGCTGCCAACCAAAACCATCCATAGAGATAGAGCTGAACGTGATCATCATCCAGTCCAACCCCCTGCTTGGGGGTAAGATAGGCACAGGTGAAAGACTGGAATGAGGCAGAGGTTTATTAAGGGAAAAGGCTTCTCTTTGTTGGCACTTTGCTGATCAAATTCTCTCCCCAGCTATCCAAGGACCCACTCTGATGTTTGCTCAGCATGCAGTAAATCCCCCCCCCCACACACACACACCCTGCCACAGCTGTTAGCTGTACATCTATTCTGCTGCTCTATTGTTTCTTGGTTATGACATTCCTACGAAATCGCTTAGCTCAGGATTTTGATTTTGTAAATTATAATTTACATAATGGAGGTTAACATGGAAACATATTAAATAACACATTGCATTACATTGCATGAATAAAATGATGATATGAATTGATTACTATTAATAGTAATACATAATAGGGCAGGGGAGGGTATTGTAATAATATAATGAATAATCTATTATATCCTAATGCTATTATACCTTAATATACTGTCTTATCAGTTCTTTGTTATACTATATCAACATATTAAATAATCATAGAGATTTAATATATAAATTGCCTTGGATCCATGCATAGAGAAAGCACAATGAAAGCTGTTCATTGGTACTACAGTACTACAATACTCTAAGAACAACAAATTCTGAGCCGAAGCTGGATGAGTTGAGGTTGGTTTAAATTGAATGAATGAGTGATTAATTGATTGATTGATTGAATGAATGAATGCATTCTGGGGGCATGGTGAGGGCAGGACCAGAATGGGGAGACTTTGTATGGCTCTTAAGCCCATTCAGCTAACATCAAGTTATTGTCCATAGGTTTGCACCCTTAGAACGACAAATTCTGCATCAAACCCAAAGTACTATGGGTACCTTTTGGAAGTCTGGAAAAGATTTATGCATCAACTTAGATTTCCCATAAACCTCATTGTTTGGACAAAGTCCTCCAAGCTCACCCGTCTCCTTAATGCTGCATTGACGAGCTTCTTATTTTTAATCATGTTTTCTTCTGTAGCAGTCAGAAAATAAGGCTCACCTGTTGGGGAACAAGATAGTGTTTCCGATTTGCTCCAAGCACTAGATTGATACAGCAGGAGTAATTATGACATGTATTGGATGCATTGGGATAACTGATGGACCTTCCTTGCTCTGCCTGGTGAATGAGCTGGTAAAGCTTGTGGCATTAGCTTAGAGGAAGTTGGACTATGGAAAATAATCAAGTAAATGCTTGGTTTTTACTTGATCTTTGATGGGGTTTCTTCTTCTTCACACTAGCTGCTTAAATTTTAACACTACTTTGCAATATTGTTTGCACTTCTAATTAAAAGCTAAAAGTTACATTTCCTTTGGCTGAAGATCTTTTGATAAAGCTTATTGTTGCATAGTAGTTGAAGGCTCACAGGAGTACAGTCATGCAGATCCGAGTAAATTGAGCATTGCTGCCTGACTTTTTGAATTCTCCTTGGGGATACAGGGAAGGATCTGCCATGATGAATTATTATTAATATGATTCATTTATTAAATTTGTGTTTCACGACTTCACAGATTATCAGAGCACAACTGGCCATCACCAAATCATTGGCAGCGAGATAATCATGGCAGGGGACCATGTTAGTCCTCTTGCACTGACCCTTTCAATATTTGCTGAAATTCCTGAAGGATCTAGTACAGGAGCTATTGAGCCCAGTGCCATTGATTGTATAAATAACCACAGAAGTGGCTAACAGATGGAATCTGTCTATAGGCAGCCTCCCCACCTGGCTGTGAGGAGTATTAAGCAGATTAGTGTTTGATGAGTAGGCAAGAGTTCACAAACTTACAGTAGCTTTCTCTTAATTGTGAGGAGAGAGGAACTGAGCCAAGTCCTCCTTTATATTGGAACAAAGCATTCAGAACTATGGCAGTGTGGTGAGAGCCAATCAGAGGATGGGTGTCTGAAGGTTCCAGGAAGCTGTTGACAGTTGGGAGTAAAGATGATGAAATATCTCTGCTTGCAGCGGAGAATGGTTTAGGGTTGCATTCTGATGATAATTAATGTGGGTTATTTGGTGGGACGATAGGTCTAGAATTCCAAATCTGGGAAGTGATTGAGCTATGAATCTGGAAGTCCTCCTGGCATGATTGCATAGGTGGCCCTAGACAGACTACATTCTCTCTCCACCTGCAAGATGGGTTTAATCATAGTGACCTACCTTCCAGTGTGGTTCTGAGGACCGCAATATGATGTCCTGGAAGTGATGGTAAATTGCTTTATACAAATGCTACATCTCATGTAGCTTCCAATGTTTCACGTTTCATAATAGGGAGCTGTTTTTTGGGAACATGTCAGTTCTCATGCTGGATATCTATGTTCTAACCACTGCCTTTCCCTGCCAATCCTGTCCTTCTCAACTGGAGGCTCTTTTACCAGCTAGCATATGGTGCAACTCTATATTAGCCGCTCCTCCATTGATAGGGCTGGCCCAATACGTTTTGGCATCTGAAGTGAACCACAAAATCCACCACCTCTTCCCTGGCTAGGAAGAAGGGGTGGGTGAAGAACTACGTCAGGAACAAGAGGACTATCTATCTATCTATCTATCTATCTATCTATCTATCTATCTATCTATCTATCTATTGCGGTCCATAGACCCATAAAACAGTTTCAAAACAAGATACAGTTAAGACAACCAAACAACAGGCGAAAGAGACTGAGGTAGTCATTTTGTTATGTCTAGAGCATGATGGTCTCTGTTTCTTGCGACCTCTGAAAGAAACTTTGCCATGGTCACTGCAATATCATTTGACCTATCCTTCAGAAGGTATTTAATATGGGAGGCTTCAGATTCTCCCCACAAATTTGCTAGTAAGGGTTTGACCAGTTGATCCCTTGCTCGCTCATACTGCCCACAATGCAGTAGGATATGGTTTATACAATCGACATCATGAGAACATAAACAAAGCCTATTCTGATAGGGGATGCCGCTCAGTCTACCATTTAGAACTTCCAATGGAAATACATTTAATCTAGCTTTGGTAAATAAACGCTGATAGGTGGGTACGGACAAATTCCTAAGATATGAGGCTAACTGGAAGTCATGCCCTTATTGGATTCCAGCTGCAATCGGGCCACAGATTACATTGGATCTGGATCGCAGGTCGCTATGTGAGATGTCCCAAAGCTTTTGCCTCAGGGATACAAGGGTGGTGGCGTAGCCCAGTTGATACAAAAGGGATGGTGACAGTCCAATTGAGGTGGCTTTTCTGGCCATAGTTTTCAGCCATGGACTGATAAACTAAGACAGGGCTCAGCAAACTTTTTCAGCAGGGGGCTGGTCCACTGTTCGTCAGATCTTGGGGGGGGGGGACTATATTGGGTGTGTGTGTGAATGAATTTCTATGCCCCACAAATAACCCAGAGATGCATTTTAAATAAAAGGACACATTCTACTCATGTAAAAACACCAGGCAGGCCCCACAAATAACCCAGAGGTGCATTTTAAATAAAAGGACACATTCTACTCATGTAAAAGCACACTGATTCCTGGACTATCCGCGGGCTGGACTTAGAAGGCGATTCAGCCGGATCCGGCCCCCGGGTCTTAGTTTGCCTACCCATGAACTACGTAAGAGGAGGATAAAGATCTGCATCGGAAGCTGCTCCTCCGGTGGGTCATGCCACATGAGGCGGTTGCCTTACCTTGCCTGATGGGTGGAATGGCCCTGTCCATTGATATAGAAGGCAAGATTATGCTTTAAAAACAAATGGGGCAGGGGGGAGAATCATCTTAAAGTATGTGCTATCTAACCTTTCAACTTTTGATGATTATATTTTTATAAACAAAACAATTTGCTGCCAAGTGAGTGGAATGCAAACCATAATCTAATTTTCATTACAACTCTCTATTCCCTGCAACCATACTTCTGAATCAGAACATGTTCCTTTCCTAGGAATATTCTTTCCAATATATGCAACTTTCATAATAAATTTGCTGTAAATCAGCAATTGCTTAATCTCCTTTATGGTTCTCTCTCTCTCTCTCTCTCTCTCTCTCTGTATATATAGATAAAGAGGAATAATAATAATAATAATAATAATAAAATTTTATTTATATCCCTCCCTCCCCAGCCGATGTCGGGCTCAGAACGGCTAGCAACAGTAAAACGATAAAACATTCTAAAATCATTTCATTATAAAATTAATTCCAATCAAATTAATGGCAACCATTGGGCTAGAAGTTCTGTGAGGATTGCCAAAGGAGGGAGTCAAGCTGTGCCCTGGCCAAAGGCCTGGTGGAACAGCTCTGTCTTGCAGGCCCTGCAGAAAGATGTCAAGACCCGCAGGGCCCTAGTCTCTTGTGACAGAGCGTTCCACCAGATAGAGATAGAGATAGATATGGTACCCTTAGGTAAGAACACTGACAATTTGTGGACAAATGGGCCCAGAGTTTTTGTTTGTTTGTTGTGCTAGACACCTTTGAGGATGAAATGGATTTGACAGCTGATTTACAGACCTCCAGTCAGCAATGGCTGCACCCCTGTAGCTATTCTCTGGAATTCTGGCAAGATTCATTGCCATCAAAAGGGAAAAACTTGCTTGCAAATTTCTTCACCTGTTTTTTTTTTTTTTAATGTTTCTACCTTGAAATCTAAATGTAAGGGAGTCCAAGACAAGAGTCGCTGGACCTATTGGTTTAAAACCAGTATATAATGGTTACCATGTCTGAATAGTTTGTTCACTTCTCTTAGAAATAGCATGCCACAGCCATTTTTAGGAATTTCCAAAAAGTAAAACAAAAACAGAAAATGCAAGTCATCCCCAAACCATACTGGTTACCCTTGTGCGAAAATTAATGCAGCTATCTTTCTGAAATTTTGCTTTTAGAAGTAAAATTTAGTACCCTTAATAAACAAATTGTATATATGGTTTGTCCCTAGGTATTAGTTAAGTACATAATAGTTAAGAGCATAAAATAAGAAATTATAAGCCTCTGCATTAGATTTTTATTCACATTTCATACATTCATATAGATACCATTTTCCTGTAACACAGAAGCACAAAAAGTACATTGCAGTCAAAACCAAGTGCTGAGAGCACATTTTGTACTTAAAAAGAGGGGCAGAAGATACCTGATGGAACATTTCATGGTTAGGAAAGTTGCAATGTACTGTTTCAAGGCTTCGTGATTGAATAAAATTAAAGAAAACAGGATGAAGTGTTGAAGATCTTTTTGTAAAAAAACACACCTGCTTTATAATCTTTTATCAGTCTAGGAATTAGAATTGTTATTAGCCAATTATATAACCTTTGCTTGCTACCATCCCTTGAATAATCAGTGCAAACCAGTGTGAATCCTGTGTTGCTGAAATTTGGACAGGGTATGGTCCTTCATCGATGGAGATATTTGCTTTTCTATTTAGCCTTTGCATTTGGAAGCCTATAAACTTTTGCTTTGCTATGATGGGGTGTGATCATTGTTTGTTTTCTTGTTTATGCAGCAATGTTCTTTTATTGCTATGGACGATGTCTGATGCAAATAAAGTTTCATTCATTCATTCATTCTGCTGCCATTAAATAAAAGATTGTACCATATGTGTGTGTGTGTTTGTGTGCGGCCACCATGATGAGAAGCAACAATGATGGGCAGTTAGTCCATTGTAAAAAAAGAGAAATGATTTACCTCAGTACAGTGGTGCCTCACGTTAAGTACTTAATTCGTTCCAGAGGTCCGTTCTTAGCCTGAAACTGTTCTTAACCGGAAGCACCACTTTAGCTAATGGGGCCTCCTGCTGCCGCCGCGCCGCCGGAGCACGATTTCTGTTCTCATCCTGAAGCAAAGTTCTTAACCTGAAGCACTATTTCTGGGTTAGCGGAGTCTGTAACCTAAAGCGTATGTAACCTGAAGAGTATGTAACCCGAGGTACCACTGTACAGTTGGGATACCTCCTTTTCTGAAAGGCCCCACACCGTTGAGAAGGGATGCGAGTGGTGCTGTGGTCTAAACCACTGAGCCTCTTGAGCTTGCTGATCGGAAAGTCAGCGGTTCGAATCCCTGTGACAGGGTGAGCTCCCGTTTGCCCTGTACCAGCTCCTGCCAACCTAGCAGTTTGAAAGCACAGCAGGGCAAGTCGATAAATAGGTACCGCTGTGGCGGGAAAGGTAAACAGCATTTCCATGTGCTCTGGCACTCATCATGGTCCTCCATGCTCCAATAGTGGTTTAGTCATGCTGGACACATGACCCGGAAAACTGTCTGTGGACAGACACTGGCTCCCTCGGCCTGAAAGGGAGATGAGCGACGCAAAACCATAGTCGCCTTTGACTGGATTTAACCGTCCAGAGGTCCTTTACCTTTTTTTACCTTACACCCTTGAGAACAGTTGATGTTTCCCTTAAAAAAATAAAATGTGTTTCTAAACACTATAACTTCCTTGTCTGGTTACGTTATGTTATGTTATAGTGGACCTGTGGATTTCATTTTCCTGAATGATAGGCTGTGGAAGCCATTTTGAGAAGGTTGCTGTGTAACTGAGGCAAAATCTACTTTTCTTTGGTGGCCGTGATTGTTTTTTTTTTTTTGGTCATTTATGTAAATTGTATCATTGAGATAGACTCCATATAAATGCATAAAGGTAAGGTAAAGGTACCCCTGCCCGTACGAGCCAGTCGTGACCGACTCTGGGGTTTGCGCGCCCATCTCGCTTAAGAGGCCGGGGCCAGTGCTGTCTGAAGACACTTCCGGGTCACGTGGCCAGCCTGACGAAGCTGCTCTGGCGAGCCGGCACCAGCGCAGCACACGGAAACACCGTTTACCTTCCCGCTATAAAGCGGTACCTATTTATCTACTTGCACTTAGGGGTGCTTTCAAACTGCTAGGTGGGCAGGAGCTGGGACCGAACGACAGGAGCTCACCCCGCCGCGGGGATTCGAACCGCCGACCATACAATCGGCAAGTCCTAGGCGCTGAGGTTTTACCGAAGCGCCACCCGCGTCCCATATAAATGCATACATACATATATATCTGTAAAAACCATTCGGACAGAAGAGTGTTATTTCTTGATGTTTGATAATTCTCAGTGTATTTTGCCACTGTACAAGTCCTTCCCTGTGAGACCCTGTGAATTGTATTAGTCATTTTGATGAATGATTTTTGATATTTGATATCTGTTAACTACCAAACATATTTGATATATATTAACTACCAAACTTTTAGAAGACATCTGAAGGCAGCCCTGTTTAGGGAGGCTTTTAATGTTTAATAGGTTATTGTATTTTAGTCTTTTGTTGGAAGCCGCCCAGAGTGGCTGGGGAAACCCAGCCAGATGGGCGGGGTATAAATAATAAATTATTATTATTATTATTATTATTATTATTATTATTATTATTATTATTATTATTATTATCATCATCATCATCATTTTTATTATTATATTTCGAATGACTACGACTTTATCATTTCGATTACTGTGATGTTAAAAGGTCTGCCTTGGATTCGTATTGAGATCATTCTGTCATTTTTTGAGATTGCATCCCAGTACAACTTTTGCCACTCTTTTGTTGACTATGAGGGCCACTCCATTTCTTTTATGGGATTCTTGCCCACAGTAGTAGATATGATGGTCATCTGAACTGAATTCACCCATTCCCATCCATTTTAATTCACTGATGTGTAGGATGTCAATATTTATACTTGCCATCTCATTTTTTACCACATCCAGCTTACCCAGGTTCATGGTTCTTACATTCCAGGTTCCTATGCAATATTTTTCTTTACAGCATTGGACTTTCCTTTCACTTCCAGGCATATCCACAACTGAGCGACCTTTCGGCTTTGGCCCAGCCGCTTCATCAGCTCTGAATCTCCTTGTACTTGTCCTCCGCTCTTCCTCAGTAGCATGTTGGACGCCTTCCGACCTGAGGGGCTCATCTTCTAGCATCATAACTGTTATATGCCTGTTGTCTTTCTCCATGGAGTTTTATTGGCAGGGATACTGGAGTGGCTTGCCAGTTCCTGCTCCAGGTGGATCAGGTTTAGTCAAAACTCTCCACTATGACCTGTCCGTCTTGGGTGGCCCTGCACGGCATAGCACATAGCTTCTCTGAGTTATTCAAGCCCCTTCTCCATGACAAGGCAGTGATCCACGAAGGAGCTAAACCTTAGCGATATCATATAGACATTTCCAACAAAAAATAAAGACCCCAAACTACATCCCTGATAGTCTGATAAAATAATGAAGTTACAGTCTCAGCCATAAGCAAAATAAAATGAAAATGAAAAACAACAGCAAGGCTCAGAAACTAGGGTATATTGATATCAGTAACAAGTATTGCACTAGTTATCTAGGACAGGCAAAAAAACAGGGTTCAGTTCAGTTGAATGTTAAAATCAAAACTAACTATTTTCTCACTTAGGAAGCACATCCATTTAAACTAATCTAAGTTCATGTGCATAATTTAGAAACAGAAAAGGAAAATAAATAAATGGTGTGTGGTAGCTACAGCCAGCTTTTCCATGGACTTTGGAGCTGTTACCTACTGTAGTACATATTATGGATTGGATGGCAGGGAGAGGGAGAACAAGGTCAAAGTCATTCTCAACTCCAAATGCCATCAATCACAAACCTGCAGTTCCAGGGTCATGGTTAACAGAACAGTGAAAATGTTGTAGATCCCAAAGTCAGTGAGCAGAAGAAACCTGTGCCCTTTAGAATCAGCGATAAACATCTAGAGAAAACAAAGATAAGGCTGGGAGATCTGATAAATTACTCACTGGCTGACTTATGTTTCTTCGTGGACAGCTAATGAAATTCATTTTTATAAACAAACAACAAACAAACAAATAAAAGATTACCAAGCATACAGATGAACAAATCTTGCTGAAGTGGTATCAGCTTGCTTTCACAATATGTGATTCCTTCTGATCGGATGTGGTGATGACAATGACAATGACGATGTGTCAGTATAAAGCAAGTATAAATGATGCATATTGGGGCAATTTCCCCATCTAATTTAATATAAAACCCAGAGCTTCCCAAACATGGTTCTCCAGCTGTTTTTGGACTACAATCTCCACCCCCATCGTTCAGGGCCTTCTGGTGGTTCCCTCATTGCGAGAAGTGAAGTTACAGGGAACCAGAGAGAGGGCCTTCTTGGTAGTGGCGCCCCCTCGCCTTCAGATATCAAGGAAATAAGCAGCTATCCTATCTTTAAAAGACATCTGAAGGCAGCCCTGTTCAGGGAAGTTTTTAATATTTATTGCTGTACTGTTTTTAACATTTGATTGGGAGCCGCGCAGAGTGGCTGGGGAAACTCGGCCAGATGGGCGGGGTACAAATAAATTATTATTATTATTATTATTATTATTATTATTATTATTATTATTATTATTATTATTATTATTATCTTCCCTGACAACTGGTCCTGCTAGGCAGGGTTCTTGGGAGTTGTAGTCCAAAAACAGCTAGAGACCCAAGTTTGTACACTAACAGGGGCTGAACTCATCAGAGTCTGTAACTGACCATGGAAAAGCACTTGGGGCCATTGTGGACAGCTCAGTGAAAATGCTGTCCCAACACGTGGCAGTTGTAGAAAAGGTGAATTCTCTCTGTTAGGGATTACCAGGAAGGGATTGACATTAAAACTGACAATAATATCATAAGGCCGTTAGACAAACCTGTGGAGCAAGCAAACTTGCAATACCATGTACAGACCTGGCCACCACAGCATGAAAACAATATTGTAGAGTCAGAAATGGTGCAGAAAAGGCCAACCACAATGAAACAGCTGCCAAAGTAACTGCTCCAAAAGGAAACAGCTCAATACTGGAGCAGGGGATTAATTTGGAGAAAAGGCAAGTAAGGAACCAATGGGAGAGTGAATTGACTTGGCAAAGTCATACACTTGACCTCTGCTCTGTTGCTATGGTAACCAAGTGCACCTGGCCTCTTATCTCAGAATATCCAGCTGTGTGAAGAGATGTGCTAACTCAAAAATGAGCCCAAGCACTGTGCAATTTAACCCAATGTTCACATTACACTGATGCTCCAAAGTTCTTCAAAAGATAACAGTCTTTAAGCTGCCTCACTTTGTAAGGCCTTTGCATCTGGTTGTCTATTTTTATTATATGCAACGTAATGGATTGTGAGTTGTGCATTTTAAACCATCAATTTTTATTGCACTGTTTATTTGTTGTTTTAAATCGTACACTGTGTGTGTGTGTGTGTGTGTGTGTGTGTGTGTGGTTACATACTGGTCTATAAAAGACTGGTCTTTTGAAGGAGAATGGTTTTTCAAAACTTAGGAGGTGAAAGAGGAAAAGGTGGAGGAGACTTACTGCCAATGCATGTGTAGAGCAATAAATAATGGTAAAGTAAAGGTAAAGGAACCCCTGACCATTAGGTCCAGTCGTTATCAACTCTGGGGTTGCGGCGCTCATCTCACTTTATTGGCCGAGGGAGCCGGCGTACAGCTTCCGGGGTATGTGGCCAGCATGACTAAGCTACTTCTGGCGAACCAGAGCAGCACATAGAAACACCGTTTACCTTCCTGCCGGAGCAGTACCTATTTATTTACTTGCACTTTGACGTGCTTTCGAACTGCTAGGTTGGCAGGAGCAGGGCCCGAGCAACAGGAGCTCACCCCATCATGGGGATTCAAACCGCCGACCTTCTGATCAGCAAGTTCTAGGCTCTGTGGTTTAACCCACAGCGTCACCAGTGTCCCATAAATAATGGTAGAGCTTATCAAACCCAGCTGAACTATCTCCAGTTTCGGCCCTGTCAACCAGTAGAGTCTCTCCATATAATAGCAGCCTGAAATCAGACAAACATAATAAAAATTATTAGATGAATTGAAGAACTGGCAGGGTTCTGAGCCCTTGAAGAATCTCGTCAGTTCTTTTTCTGCTTTTAAATTCTGCACTCAAACTTGGATGTCAGCTGCTCTCCGTCTAGAAAATATTTACCTTTAGTTTCACCTCTATAATTGTCTAAACACTTTAAGCAGTGAGTCCTGCATCTCAGAACTGTCTTCTCTTCTCATTTCCCTCACCACCTTGACTAAATTTTTCTTTAAATAAAGCACTGACTACCATCATAATTATTTATCAAAGTGATCACAGTTTCAGACAGTGGAAGAATAACAGTAACAGCTCTTTGAATAATTTCATTTATTTAAAAAAGCTATTTCATATATACACAAACAACGAAATAAACTGCATAGGATGCTTCCTGAGTTTTTACGTGATGTTCCTCTTCTTGGTATGTTTCTTCCTGGGCTTCGGGATCAGCATGGATCTCCTGATCTGTACAAAGGCCTTCATTTTTGTTTCTGGTATAATCCTGAAGATAACGAAAAAGGTAGCTACAGAGACAGGCCAGAAGAGAAGGAAGATATAGGCTCCCATACTTGCCTAGAGTTGGAACAAAAAAGGGGCAGTAGGAAGGAAGGAAGGAGAGAAACAGAATCTTGGTTATTTATTTGTCACACACATATTCTTTTGGAGTTTACCCTTCAAGGAGCTCAAGACCAGACCTCCAGATATTTGCCACAAGTGGTGGCAGTGGTGCATTTTGGACCAGCTCCCCGCCCACCTAGCCCAGGTTGACCTATCTCTGTTTTGCTCTACGTTATTGTGCACATTCAGGGTTGGCTCCTTCCTGCTTGCTTGCTACGAGTCCACCGGCAATTCCACCCAAAGAAGCCAGCTATGGCTTTCTTGTCTTAGGAGGCACCATGGGCTCTGTCCAGGGCACTGAAAGAGCGCATGAAAGAGTTTGACTGTGTGGGTCAATAATGCAGGCAGAGATTACAGGCAGGTCCTCCTCTGGAGAGGCATCTGCAGAGTTGCACTCCTTAAATAAATAATTTTATTATTTATACCCCACCTATCTGGGTTTCCCCAGCCACTCTGTGCCACTTCCAGCAGAATATATCTCTTTTCTCTGACTAAACAATTCGTGGCAGAGTGGAAGGTGCTGGTGTTCGCATGGATATTATTATTAATTCAATTTATATACCAGCCACCCAGAGTGGCTGGGGCAACCCATTCAGATGGGCAGGGGATGATGATGATGTTGATGATCTCAGGATGGTGTACCCAGGAATGTTGGGAGATCCAGTCCAGCAACATCTGGAAGGGCAGAGTTTTCCCATCACTGCACTGAACCTGATTGGAAAATATGCAGATTCCTGAGATGATTTAACATTCAACTTTAACAAAACACACTGGCTGGATTGGGGGAAGGGTAGAAATAATGGCAAATAAATAACTTCAAGGGTATGGCTTAATTTGTGGGTTTGGGGAAACAATAATGGTGCGATAAGGGGCTGAGCTTTTTTTACCGCACTTACGACCAAACAGAAATTCAAAACGACTCACCTCAATGTAAAAGAATATGAATTCTATAAGAAACCTACTGAGCCAATGCACAAATCCTGCAATCGCAAATGCTGAGGCCCGGGATGACTGAAGGAACAGCTCTACCACAATTACAGATGAAATAGAACCTTGGTAGACAGAAATGATTTAGGGCATTGAATACCACTTTATTTTATTTTATTTGACTCACTAGATTATCTACTGCATTCATATCTTTCATATCATCTAAAGAACACAATGCAAAGACCATAAATAAGCAAAGCTGTCCTTCTAGCACAGCAAGTGCCATATCTGCCTTTACAGCATTGTTAGTTACTTAGCACTTTTGTCTCCTGACCGAATGCTTTTCCTGGATTGCACAGGTTATGAAACAACTTGTTAATGGAACTATGTATAACCTGCATTTTTCAGCTCTTGCAGTAATATTCAGTGTACAGAGTACAGTGTACAGAGCATCCATGCATTCCTGAGCTTTGAACTTAAAAATATAAGTAACCTATGTTGGAAAACAGAAAGCTGAAATGTTTCTTGAAGAATGACATCCAAGTTCTAGTTTCCAGGAAAAAACCATTTCTCTTCAATGAGGCCTTTGGCTGATTAACATCCTATAGCCTTTTAAATGTGCTTAACATATGTTGTGCATATTATGTTTTTATCTTGGATTTTTATGTTGTGAACCACCTTGAGATCTATGGATGAAGGGTGGTGTAATAATAATAATAATAATAATAATAATAATAATAATAATAATAATAATAATAATTTTGGCCACCTCATGAGAAGAGAAGACTCCCTGGAAAAGACCCTGATGTTGGAAAAGATGGAGGGCACAAGGAGAAGGGGACGACAGAGGACGAGATGGTTGGATAGTGTTCTCGAAGCTACCAGCATGAGTTTGACCAAACTTCGGGAGGCAGTGGAAGACAGGAGTGCCTGGTGTTCTCTGGTTCATGGGGTCACGAAGAGTCGGACACAACTAAACAACTAAACAACAACAACAACAAATAATAATAATATCATCCAAGCACTTACCTGATCCTATACCATGTCCAAAGATGAATATGTTTTCCAAAACTTTTCTTACATGCACCATTTGCGGGATAAATTTCTGTTGGAGAAAGCAGGTCATGTTTATTGTCCACAGCTGAGTTTAATGTGCATTTGAAATGTTTGTGTTCCAATTAAGGTAGGATTGTCCACCAGCTCATTTCCCATGAGTTTCCTCCCTGAACATCTGGATTCCCTCCCCCCTCGCCCACCAATTCAAGGTGAATCGAATAAGTTTTGAAAAATGCAGCTCCACTCAAGATAATGGGCACATTGGCTCTCCCCCCCCCCTATGAGATGAAGCATCCATTCTGACTACTACTATCCTTTCCATGCACCTTGCACCATCATGGTGCCAGTTTTTCTTTGGGTAGTGCCTATTTTTGAAAATCTCTGCAGCAGTATATTTTTTGTCTTCTTATGTTTTAAAATGACAACAATTTCACTGCTAGTGAAATTTCCAGGTGTAGTCCTCATGGTGTCCTCCATATTTTGTTGGACCACAATTCACAAAGCCAATTCCCCTCACAGGGAATTGACTTTGCGAGCAGATCATGAGCCTGACCTATGAAAACAGGGCTTAGCTTGCTCCGCGTCACAGGGAGTTCCTGGCAGCGTCATTTCATATCGGCCAGTCCGATCGGCCAAGGAGGGCATGGCTTAGCCCATTTAAACAAGCCGTGGCCAGGCTCTTGCTCTCTTTTACCTTGCTCCCGCTTGTGCAGTTCTCCCTCCTTCCCTAAGGCTAGGTCCTTATCCTTTGACCTTGCTATGGACCTCAGATGGTTGCCTGTTGAAGGGGCCTGGTAGGAATTTTTTCCACTTGGCAAATTGGCACCAGCCACTTGGCTTTTCGCCTACCTCGTAGCAAATCCTCACAACTTTGTAAGATTTGGTGGTTAGGCATTGGAGTATTTGGTGGGAGGTGGCGGCCATCACCTACCCCTCCTATTTCAAGGGCATTCCATTAAAGGAATCTGGGGGGGGAGGGTGTCCTCTGTCCGAAGCCCAGATGGGGGCCAGGGCCATAGCATGACCCCTATCGGTGACCCTGGGGGATTTCCTAGCTGATGTGCATCAATAGGGCTCCCCCTATTGGTGGTTAACTCTCAGGTTCCAATGCCTAAGCCAATACCACTCACATTCTGTAACCCATAAAGTTGTGGCCCTTTTCCAGCCCATTAACCTAAATTCTGGTGTCAAGTGTCTTTATTCTACAATGGGGTAGGGTTCAGGACCTTGCCACACAACATTCCTAACTATTGGCCATGCTTGATTGAGACTGATGGGAATAGGAATGCAGCAACATCTGAAGGATTGTCACACATACTACTTCCCACATACCCCCCCCACATTTTGGGAGAGCAATTTGGGACACATACAGACCTGCACCATTCTGCCACCTGCCACTGCCACCTGCTGCCCGCTTGCATACTGGCAGTGCCGGGGGGGGGGGCAGCCAGTGAAGGTGTGGAACCAAAAGAATGTGCAACCAAAGGATATGTCCCTTTTGATTTTGCACTCTTTGGGTCCCTGTTGGGTTAAATCCCAGAAGTGTGGCACCAGCTTCCATATGTACATCAGCCATTCTGTTCTTTTGTCCCACACTCTGCTGTGAGTCAACTGACGCGCACCACAGTGTGGGACCAAAAAAACCTATGTCTTTGGGTCCCACGTTCTGGTGAAACTAGAGTATGGGGAACTAAAATGAGACATCCAGGATTCAGATCAGAAGCCAAACAGGCTTCTGTCAATCTGGGATGTCTCGTTCGAAACGGGACATTTGTGAGGTAAGCTCCCATATTTCCAGTTACCACTGTTTGTTCCATAGAACTGTTGACCCATAGAATGAAGGAGGCCTCTCTTGCCTCTGAATCTAACATTTGTGTAACTTTCAGAGGAAACATCTGTCAATGGGAAACTATGTTCTTATTCATTCACCTAAAGACTTCGTACAAAATTCAGCTGAAGGTTAAAAATCCAATGCAACCTTTCTCTCAAGTCTCCTTCTACAGATGTACCAATCAGAAGTATGCCCATGCCTCCGTTCGTATGCCTTGTTTTTATTATTCTTAAAGAAATGTCCTGTCACATCTACAGCCAACTTAAACATTGGCTTTGGAGCTTTTGCATGATACAGATTAAAGATGGAGGGGGGACAGGGCCAAACGACAAACTATTTAATGATTCTCAGCTCGAAATCTACCAACTACAAACCAATAAATCCAGTGACATGGTTAGCATGATACAGGTCACGATGCAGATCCCAGAGCCAGTGAGAAGCAGAAACTTGTGCCCCTTAGAATCAGCCAGATACATCTAGAGAATATAGAGACAAGAAAGAGGGACCCTAGGCGTTACAACAGTACATCAAAACAGTGTTTCCCAAACTAGGGCCCCCAGCTGTTTTGGGACCACTGGTCCTGCTAGCTAGTGATGATGGGAGCTGTAGTCGAAAATCAGGCTTCATTCACTCTGGAGGGGCTCCTGTTCCATAAATTTTCATAATTTGGTCAAAAGAGGAAAATTGGCACCTGATTTTTTTATTTTTATTTTTGTTCCCTGTTATAGCAAATGGGTAATGGGAGAGCTTTGTTTTGGATAGTTTTGCCCAGAACCTGAATTACAGATCAAAGCAGAGAGAGCATAGGGCAAAACAGTAAACAATTGTGTGTTTTTTAAAGAGTTACAAGGGACATCTTGGGGCTTATTCACACCCTTCATTGAGAAGGAATGCATATATGAACAGCGGATTTTGAAGCGTGGCATACTGAATTTGTGTCTAGGCAACCACAGTCGGGGGTCAAGGCTCTTAAATGAAAAAGGACCTGAAGCTAAGACTTACAATGCAATCCTCTACATATCCACTCAGAGATAAGCCCTTCTGATCCCAGGTAAGCATATGTAGCATGTTTGGCCAACAAAATACCTTTCATGTGTAGTGAGATTACAACTCCCATCGAACCTAGTTATCGGGGCCAATAATAAGGAATGGTGTAAGTTGTCTTCAGTGCTTTTTTAATGGCTGTACGTACCACCTCTTCCCCCACCATCCTGCTGCCACCACTTCCCGATGTGAGACCCTTTTACAGTTAGAATCATAGAATCTACAAGTTGGAAGGGACCTCAAGGTCATCCAGTCCAACCCCATGCAATGCAGGAATCTCAGCTAAAGCATCCTTGGCAGGTGACCAGCCAACCTCTGCTTAAAAACCTCCAAGGAAGGAGAGTCCACAACCTCCTGAGGGAGACTGTTCCACTATCAAACAGCTCTTACTGTCAGGAAAAAAAATCATTTGTCTAGTTGAAATCTCCTTTCCTGAAACTTTAAGCCATTGGTTTGAGTCCTACCTTCCAAAGTAGGTGGAAACAAGCTTGCTCCATCCTTCCAATACTTGAAGATGGCTATCATATCTCCCTTCAGTCTCCTCTTTTCCAGGCTATACATACCCGGCTCCTTCAACCTGTTCCTCACAAGGCTTGGCTTCTAGACCCTTGACCATCCTAGTTGCCCTCCTCTGCACACGTTCCAGCTCATCAACATCTTTCTTAAATTGTGCTGCCTGGAACTGGACACAGTATTCCAGGTGTGGCCTGACTAAAGTTGAATAGTTGCCAAAACACCTTCCAGGAAGGTGCCTGGTAATTGTAAGAAGGTCTCACCATAGCAGAGGCACTTTGGTGCGACATTTTTATGATTGCCAGGTATGCTTTGATGATCGTAAAAGTGGTCACACCAAAGTGCCATTGTGGGAAGTGGTGAAGTAGGAGGACAAAGTGCCTCTGGGAATCAATGCCTGCTGCTGCAGGAAGTGGTGGTGGTGGCAGAAGCAGTCTCAGGCAAAGGGGGAGGGAGCAAGCAGATGGGCATGCAAATGGCAGCCAGGTGGAGGTGTGAGAGATAGGGGGCATGGTGTTTACCGGCACCTTTTTCAGAGAAATAAAGCCCTTTTTGTATTCCAACAGCATCTAGAGAGCAGCTTGTTGGATACTCCAGATGTATAGGGTTGTAGCCACTTGGATACGACTGTATCACAGACTTAAACTGGTCTAATATTAATTCCCTTTTCCAGAGGACTTTTAGGAATTGTAGTTCTGTGATAGGGGTGATATATCTTCACCATACAGAAGGCCATTTAGGCTAAAAAAGGCAATTTCCCTTAGAGTACATTGGTGAAATAGTTAATGCAGCAGAATAAAGTACATAAAGACAGGAGCTCTTGCTTCTTCTAACACACGCACATGCAAAGTGATTTTTTTTAAAAAAACCCTTGGGACAGTTCCAAGTAAAGCATGGAGCCATGCAAACTGTTTAAATCTAAGGGCTTCTCTTAGAACTGGGGTGTCCAAACTTTTTTCAAAGAGGGCCAGATTTGATGAAGTGAACATGCGTGAGGGACGGCCAAAGAGCCAACCAAAGTTATTGACCTTTCTTTAGGATTGAAGTTGTTGAACTTTTTTTTAGGATTTTACCCCAGGAAATAGACTGCCACAGGGGCCAGATTAAACTGACCGGCGGGCTGGATTAGACCCCCGAAATGGACTTTGGACATGCCTGTCTTAGAAAGAATAGTTAGGAAAACCCCACAAAACTACAATTCCCAGGTTTTTGGGAGAGTGGGAGATCTGCTGCTGCACAGAAAATAATATGGCACAAAAGATATAGAATGTTGCAGTGAGGATCAGTCTATTGGAGAAGAGTGATTTTCAAGACTTAGAAGGTGAGAGGAAAGGTAAAGGAGGCTTACCGATAACGCAATGGCACAGGAATAAACAGTGCTTCCGATTATCAAAAGTAGATGTATTCCCGCAATATCTGACTTTGTAGGCGAGATGATTCTCTCTTTATAATAGTATGCCTGAAATCAGACCATCACAATAAAAAGTGTTAGGTAAGGGGAAGAAGCACAATGATGGTGACCTGGGATTCTGAGAAATCCTAGAGTTCGTTTTCTGGTTATTTTGGTTGCTGTTGTTCTTTTCTGGATGTCAGCTGCTCTTAACCTAGAAGTCCTTTAATTTAGGTTCCTCTGTATAATTGACTCGACACTTTAAGTAGCAAGTCCTGTGCTTCAGAGTTGTTATCTTCCTCATATGCCTGCCATGCTTGACTTAATTTTAGTGACTGACAAAGATGGAAAATAATTCAACATCAAATCATAAAACTGTAGCGTTGGAAGGGACCAAAGAGAAGAGACTCCTGACTTGGCTCTCCTCCTTTGCAAAATCTAAGTCTAAAGTGATGGTGTTAACTAGGTGTCTCCTGAACTGCATCATCGCCCAAAAAGCCGAGTAAAAGAAATATGTGACATAGAATCATAGAACTGTAGAGTTGGAAAGGATTTCCAGGGTCATGTAGCCCAACTGCCCGCAATGCAGGAGTCTCAACTAAAGCATTCATAACAGGTGGCCATCCAACCTCTGTTTAAAAACCTCCAAGGAAGAAGAGTCCACCATCTGCCAAGGGAGCCCATTCCACTGTCAACAGCTCTTACCATCAGAAACAACTCTTACTTGTCACTATTTTCCAGGATGATGAGGAACCATTGGTAAGCACTCTTTGGGATTAGTCTGTCAAGCAGCTACAAGTCCACCTAAAAGTGGCCTCATCCAGCCCACATTTTACCAGCTTCTCCACAAGAATATCATGGGGGACTCTGTCAAAAGCCATACTGAAATCAAGATTTACTACATCCCCAGCTTTCCACTGATCCACCAAGTTTGCAACTATCTCTGTATAAAGTATTGAGATTGTCCGGCATGCCTTCTTTTTTTTTAGAAACCCATGCTGGGTCTTAGTCACCACAGCACCCATTTCTAAGCATTCACACACTGGCCATTTAATTAAATGTTCTAGGGCCTTTCCTGGTATCAACCTCAAGCTGACTAGTCAGTAGTTACCTGTGTCTTATTTTTTCCCCCCTTTTTGAAGATGGGTACGACGTTTGTCCACCTGCAGTTTGCAAGGACCTAATCTGCTGTCCAAGAATTCTCAAAGATTGCTACATGACATTGATGTACAGGGAACTGGAGCAATATTACTGGCCTCTGCTAATACACAGGAAGCAGAAGGAAGCAGCTGGAAAGAATTATTTGTAGATTCAGTTTTCTTTATACTAATTCACAGAGCACGGGAAAGAAACAAGATGAACTTGAGCTCTTAAAACAGGAGGGCAAATATGATATAATTGGCATTTCTGAAACCTAATGGGATGAGACTAATCAAACAGGAAGGAAAGAGAAGTAGCATTATATGTAAAGGATATGTACACTTGTGAAGAAATCCATGATTTGGAGCATGGAAGGCAGGTTGGGAGTATTTGGGTAAAAATACCAGAGCCCAGGCATCACTCCACACATGCCCAAGGCTTCTGGACCCTCCTGACTGGCCCTTGGCCTGGGGCCCTGTCACTTCATATTCACGCAACTGGACGTGAAGCTTAATTGACCCCCTTCTGGCTGCACAAACCATCCCACCACCCCCACCGCCCCTGGTGTTGGTGGCATGGCTACGCCAGACAGCAAAGGCCCACCCCTTGGAGCCCTGAGGTAAGCAGCTATTAGCATGAGTTATTTGTATTACCCTCTGGAGTAGCGGAAAACAAGCTTGCTCCACTTTAGATGTGACAGCCCTTTAGATATTTGAAGATAAAAGGGGGGTTCTGATTAAACATGGATGCCATCTGTCATAGATCTTTTAGTTAAGATTGCAGTGTGTTGGACTAAATAACTCTCTGGAACGCTAACAACTCTACAGTTCTATTATTTTATTCTTAGGAAGAACTTTCTGATGGTAAGAGCTCTTTAACAGTGGAACAGTATTTCTGAAGGTGGTAGTTCCCTTCATGGGAACTTTTAAAGCAGGAATTGGGTGGTCATTTGTCTGGGACTCTTTAGCCATGACTCTTGCATTGCAGAGGGATGAATTAGATGACCTTCGGAACCTCATCCAACTTCATAATTCTATAACATAATCATGTTGATTTTCCTCTCTTCCTTCATGCTGAGAAAATGAATTGAAACAGGAAAATGCAGGACATGGTGATGTTGTGTCAAATAATGGACATATCCGTTCATTTCCCATCCATTTTAACTTCACGTGTGTTCATTAACAAATCTGTTCTGTACTATTTCTGCATTAATTTGGAAACCAGCCGTTTCTGCACAAATATTCCTTTTTCGATGCATATTTAAACACCTGGTACATTTTTCTGAGCTGAGAAACATATTGCAAAATTTCAAAAAGTGCAGAACCTGAAAGATCATTGCATTCCAATCCATACGTTAATCTGATACGTGGGAATCATGTTATCTCACATTAGATGTCAGACCATTAACATTTCAGAAACTTAAAGGAATCACTCCAATCTGTCTAACTGTGTGATGCCTCATTCTACATTACCCTGATGTCTTTAGTGTTCTGTACCTGTGAAATCTATAAACTTTTAGGCAGAGGCAGAGTTCCTCCACACCGGGTGCTGAGCTGAGGAGGGCGCTGCAGGACATTACAACTATGAAGTAGTGCATTCACAGAATGGAAAACAAGAGGCGGGTAGTGGTGGTGAATTTTGCCACTGAAATCTGAAAGACCATAGTCTGCCTCTATCCTAGTCAATGCCATCTTCCCAGTAGATACACTGTCAGGTCATTCACAGAGCAGAGAAAGACAGTGGCACACAGCTCAGCTCAGTTACAGTTAGTTTTTTTTAAATTAAGGAAGCAGAATGGAGAACACATGGAGACTTCTGAGATTGCTACTGTCTAGTTGAAGCAGTTGCTCAGACTGGCTTGTACCTCCCACTTCACTCCCTATCCCTCTGTGTCAGGCCCCTCCCTCTGTTTTCAGTGAGCCTCAAGGGACCCTCTCTGTTTCTGCCTGGCTCTGTGCTCGGTAACATGCAATGGATGCATTGTTCTGGGAGTAGGGGCACACAGGCTGTCAGCAGAAAATTTGTCAGGCTGGCTCTGCGATGAAACTGCTAAGTCTGATTCCTGTCTTAGCTCTGTGCTGTGGCAGTTGCCTGTTTCTTCCTTTTCCTCCTCCTCCTCCAAGCTCCCATTCTCCAGTACTCCTCAGCTCTTCCCCTCCTCTGAGGTGTGTCCATTTGTTCACCATCAGGATCCCAGATCTAAATCCTCTTCCTCTGCATTTTCCCTGGGGGGCTCTTGGTCAGGTGGTTTCCACCACTCCTCCTCATCCAGCCAGTCCCTGGCATCCACTAGGGTGAAGATGGAAACCTTGAGGCACCCTGGTGTTGTCAGTGTTATCACTGGCCATGCTGTCTAGAGTTGATTGGAACTGGGATTCACCAACACCAGGTGTGCCACAGGCCTCCCCTTAAGGGTGGTTAGATAGTCTTGATCCCTGGAATAGAATCTAGAAAACAGAGCAGGCCCCTGCGAGCATCAACATGGGTCATTCTCAGAGACAAACAGTGACAATTGGTGCTTCTGAACCTTTTTGTGAAATACATTCTTATTTTACATGGTTGAACCTCCTAACAACTTGGGATATTGCTTTCCTTACCGCATTGAGGCCATCAAGCTGCTCTCCACCCATCAAGACGAAGATGCGGATGACATGCCATTTTAGGCTTGGGGTCATCATTAGCTTAAGTGAATCCATGTTCTTTTCGTCTTTCTCAATTATGTCCTCCAGCTGGAGCTCTTCGATCTCATCTTCCACGTCGCTAGTGTCTCGCAGCTTCTTCAGTACTGGGTGTGAACAGAGGCAGAGAGGATTAGACTTTGAAAGGGGTGACTTCTAAAATAAATAAATAAATAAGCAGATTGATTGAAAGGAAGTTGGAAAGGGGAAGTCCGGAGGGTTTAATCTCTCTGGTACGCTTGGGAGTAATTCAGAACCATAAAGAAGCAATCTTGGGAATCTCTTAATAAAAACTTGTGGTATTTGAGGAAATTGTATTGGGATACTTTCTGTATTTGTGATTGTTGCAACTATTACACAACAGTTGCTATTATTTATACTTGCATAGATTTCCATCATGTGTGTAGTATTGTTTTGTTAATTTCATTGTTCCTAGAATTCCTCTTGTTTTTCATACTTCCATACATGCCACAAAGGATATTAGCTGCTTCCTTTCACATTACTGGAGACAAGCAACACGCCGCCCCCCACCCCAGAACACATCCCCATGCAATTTTGAAAACTTGATTTAAAAAACAAGCAGACTATTTTTCTATTTCAGAGCCTAAACATAGTGCACTGAATCACACCAGGTGGATCATCATGTTTATAGCATCCATGACCGATGGCCATCCAGCCTCTGCTTAAAAACCTCCAAGGCAGGAGAGCCCACCAGTGGCGTAGTGTGGGTTGTCAGCGCCCGGGGCAAGGCAAGTAATTTGCGCCCCCTAACCCGTGGATTTGCGCCCCCTAACCCGTGGATTTGCGCCCCTAACCCGTGGATTTGCCCTAACCCCAGATGTTGCGCCCGGTGCGGCCGGCCCCCCCGCACCCCCCACGCTACGCCACTGGAGCCCACAACCTCTCGTGGGAGTCTGTTCCACTGCAGTACAGCTCTTGCTGTCAGAAAGTTTTTTCAAACGTTTAATTCGGAATCTCCTTTCTTGTAGCTTGAAGCCACATTCTTCCACTCATGATACTCAGCAACTTTTATTCAGAGGTATACTGACTCTGACACTATTGCCATCACTGCAAGTAGTCATTGAATGACCATTGACTCAGTCCAGTATACCTGAAGAAGCGTCTCCACCCTTATCGTTCTGCCCGGACACTGAGGTCCAGCGCCGAGGGCCTTCTGGCGGTTCCCTCGCTGTGAGAAGCCAAGTTACAGGGAACCCAGCAGAGGGCCTTCTCGGTAGTGGCACCCGCCCTGTGGAACGCCCTCCCATCAGATGTCAAGGCAATAAACAACTAGTTTACTTTTAAAAGACAACTGAAGGCGGCCCTGTTTAGGGAAGCTTTTAATGTTTGACAGACAGATGGTTGGGGTATACATAATAAATTATTGCTATTATTATTATTATTATTATTATTATTATTATTATTATTATACCCTAAATAGCTGTGTGAAAGGAAAGTACATTTATATATCAGTTGTATGTGCATTGTTATGAAAGGCTGTTGATGACCCTCTATTAATGAGAGGATTATCAACATAAATGATCTGATAATCCTAGATTGAATTACGCAACAGGCCAAAGGTGCCTGAGGTCTCTTCAGCCTGAAGGGATATCACAGCTCTTTATGGTGCCCATACCTAGAGGTCCCAGTACCTTTTATTGCATTGTTTTCATCCTCCTTCTGAATGAAGAGATACCTAGGACTTTCAGGAAGTAAGGGCAGTAGAAAGACCTGAAGCAATGGCATGGCCACAGAAATGCTTGTCAGAATTGGTAAACCTGTGAAAGAAAATAAGAGTGGCTGATAATGTGAAAACACTGAGGTGGAACTTCTGAAAAGCTGTAAGTCAAAGGATGAATTTCTCTGAATTACCTTTTTGGGTCCCAATAATTTCTGGGAGAGAAAGTATCTGAGCCAAAAGAACACCAAAAGAAGAAAACAGACTGTGCATCATCATTATGCGTCCCCTCAGGTGTATAGGGGAGATTTCCCCAAGATATATGGAGACAACACAGAAGGTTATTCCTGGTTAGGGGATAAATCAAAATATAATTTACAATAAGCTTGTGACATGGTGTACAGAAACATATATAGAGAACTCTGTGTGGTACAGAAGGCCACAATGAGTCATGCAGTTAACTCCTTATGAATTTAGGAGGTCCCCCATAGACTTCTGCAAAATGCCATGCTGTCCTTCACAATTTCCATGAGAGGTCACTGGATCAAGCTACATGGAGAGATGATATTTGACATCATAGCTACAGAGCTGTTGCCCAGTTGTAGCTCCCCACCATTTCAGGCCCCACAAAGTTACAGAAAGAGGTGTTCTCAGTGACTACTTCTTAACTTTGGAGATTTCTCCCCCTGGCTGGTTGCGCTTGACGCCATAGACACCAAGATGTTGCCCAGTTGTAACTTAAACCAAACTGAGCCCCACAAGGGCTTGCAGAGAGGTGTTCTCAGCCGCTGCCTCTTAACTTAATAGATTTCTTCCCTAGCTGCTTGCCAAAGACAGAGATTGCTCATCTTCTAGAACTGGAATTAAATATGTTCATTTAAACAAATTGTGATGGCTAGAGAAAAGTTAGAAGAGAAGTAGCCAACCTGACACTCCACAAATGATATTTTGACTGCGATTCTCAACATCGTTTACTACTGAATATGTTGGCATGGGCGGGTGGAAAATATAAATCAACAATATTTGCCTCCCACTGGAGTAAATTAGTATAATTACCACATCCCAGATCTTTGGGATCTAATCTCTAATCTAATCCACCCCACACATCACTCTTCATGTCCTTGGGGACTAGGGGAGAAGGGAGTTTGTCACAGTAGGACAGGAAGACTCCCAGGATTCTTCTGCAGCCTCTTGCCCCCTCTCTGCTTCAGCATCTGAGTCTGAATTGCTCTCTGTCACAGGCTCTCCCTGCTCACTAAATCCTGTTGCCCCTACAGCATCCAACAACTCCTCCCACTCTTCTCCCTCTGACCTCTCCTCGGTGTCCCACCACCAATCCCCAGTTTCTGAGACTTCCTCCTCTGGTGTTTCCCTTGGGGGTTCCCTGGCTGGTCCCCTCCCATCATCCAGTTGGTCCCTGAAATCACCTCAGATGAATCTTGTGCATTTCAGGATAATTTCTTTTTACAAAAAGGCAAGCCAATAAATTCAGGACTCCGACTTACCTGAACATAATCCAAAGCAGAAATTGATAAAGAGGCTGTATCCATAGGTTCTTATCAAGTGTGAGAGACCCAATAGTACATAACAAATAATGTACAAAATGTCAGCTATCATCAAAGCACCTTTCCTGGAAAAAAAACCAGGCGGGGTTGAGGGAGAAGATGCCAATGAATATAAGATGCTATCAAAAGAGGAAGAGGGGAGTTATGGAGCTTCCTAGTTCAACTGTTTGGACTGAATTTGGGATGTCACATCACTCATTCCATCTCTCAAATCGGGAGAACTCTACTGATATTTTGAGAGTAAATGACAGGGACGCACGAAACATCTCAAGCATGGCTAAACAGGGTTTCCCTTATTTTTATATTGGACCTGGAACCATTAGAAACTACCCAAATATTAAAAGCATCATAATAAAAAGTAAGGAACACCTGGCTAACTTAAATGCTGATTAAAACATGGTCCTGATGCTAGCAGATGCTTTAGACACACCACCTTATTTACACCAGGAACTGAATGGACATAACAGGGCTGAAATAAATTAATCAAAATCAATTTTAAGGGTTTTCAACATCCCACCCAAGATTCAGATTCTAATTCCAATGGTACTTAAGAGTCCCACGTAGATATAAAAGCTTCCAATATTTGGAAGTTTGGGGAACCATGAGCCTAAAGAAACTATTTCTAGCAGGGCTCCTATAATCTCTGGACAGCTTTGTCCCACTGGTTAAAAATAATAATAATGAAAAGTGATTTTGAAAGGTTGTCTTCCTTTGATCTTGCCATACTGAGAAAAATGTTTCTGTAAAAAAAATCTTGTCTGCCTAAGTTGTTACATTGCCTAAGTTGTAGCTTTTCCAAGTTCTTCCCGTGGGTATATCACCCTAAATTTTGGCTGCTTGGCAAAAACTTTTTGAAACATTTATATTTGAATCTAAAGAGGCTTGGGTGAAGAAATTTTACCTATACAGAACAGTTTAAAAAGTGCTTGGATAAATTAAACTATATTGTGAAGCTAACCAGTCAGAAGCAGGCTATACCCCTAATATCGAGTTACAGATAGGTAGCCGTGTTGGTCTGCCATAGTCAAAACAAAAAAATTCCTTCCAGTAGCACCTTAAAGACCAACTAAGTTAGTTCTTGGTATGAGCTTTCGTGTGCATGCACACTTCTTCAGATACACTGAAGTGTATCTGAAGAGAAGTAGCCAACCTGACACTCCACAAATGATATTTTGACTGTGATTCTCAACATCGTTTACTACTGAATATGTTGGCATGGGCAGGTGGAAAATATAAATCAACAATATTTGCCTCCCACTGGAGTAAATTAGTATAATTACCACATCCCAGATCTTTGGGATCTAATCTCTAATCTAATCCACCCCACACATCACTCTTCATGTCCTTGGGGACTTCAGTGTATCTGAAGAAGTGTGCATGCACACGAAAGCTCATACCAAGAACTAACTTAGTTGGTCTTTAAGGTGCTACTGGAAGGAATTCCCTAATATCGAGTAACACAGCAAAAGCCTAGAAACAAACTGAACAAATGCACAATACGGGAAATTCAATTGATGTTGTTCTTTTAGTGGGGATCTGGTTAAAAATTTAGATTGGGTAACTACCCTAAAGGTGACTCTTAAGATATGCAAATCCAGGATGAAATGTTTACCCCTTCTGAAATCTCAGTTATCCAAATTGTGTGCAATCTACTTCCTTTTAATAATAAGAATACTTAAATATTGTTCTGTCTGTAGTGTTAGTGTAGTGAAAGATAAACCTACCAATGCGGTTTCAACTAATTTTGTGTCTATAGGATTATAATGCGTTTGGAGAGCATGTTCCCACCACCCTAAAACAAAGTTCAATTAGCTAGCTAAAAGTGATCAGATAAGATTCCAGGACTCTGTCCCTCCCTGCCATACAACACTCCCTGAAATGTTTAGTGAAAGATAAAAATTAGCTGACATCCTCCCCTTTGCCTTTCTCTGAAATCCCATTCCATTTGGTTGAATGCCTTGGGCAGGTGGAATGAAACTAACAAAGGTGACGGCATTTTATCTTTTATTAGACGTTACTGGGGAATGTAGGTCAGCAGCAACGACCCATTCCCGCATCCCCTCAGCATGCTAGGAAATGCACTTCACCACTTAAAGGGTTATATTGATACCTGCCAAATCTATCCATCAGCCAAGCGACAGGAAAGGACCCACAGATAGCTCCGAATGGAAATAAAGCCACAGGGATAGTGGCCAGGATCCGATTAGAATCTACTCTATTTCCAAGCTCTTCCAACATAGTTGTGTTATACAAGTCATGCAGGAACTAGGAGAGAAGCACATAACATTCAACATTAGGACCTTTCTGCAGAGTGTATGGCAGCAAAAGCTGAGAGGCTGAGACCTGGCTGAAACCCTGGAGAGTCATGACTAGTTAGTGTGAACACTGTTGAGCTAGATGTACCAATGGCCTGACTCACTATGAAGAAGCTTCTATCATCATTATCATCATCATCATCATCAATATGCTGCCCATCTGACTGGGTTACCCCAGCCACTCTGGGCAGCATCCAACAAACTAAAGTACAGTAAGACATCAAACACTAAAAACTTCCTGATACAGGGCTGCCTTCAGATGTCTTCTAAAAGTTGTATAGTCCTTTATCTCCTTGTCATCTGATGGGAGGGCGTTCCACAGGGAGGGCGCCTCTGCCAAGAAGGCCCTCTGCCTGGTTCCATGTAGCTTCACTTCTTGCAGTGAGGGAACTGCCAGAAGGCCCTCAGAGCTGAGTGATGGGGGGTGGAGACGCTCCTTCAGGTATACACGGCCAAGGCCCCTGAAGGATTTAAAGGTCAGCACCAACACTTTGAATTGTGCTCGGAAACGTACTGGGAGCCAGTGTAGATCCTTTAAGACCTTTGTCCTATGTTTTAAAAAACAAACAAAACAGCAAATTCTTGGCAGGGAGCTGCAGCCAATGCTGGATGGACAGTGGGAATGTCGGGATGAGGAATGACTCTGCCTCATTCACAGTGAAAAAGTTAGTTTCTTGCACAAGGTGAGCATCTGCGATGTCCCAGAAATCACAAAAGCTGTCCCCACCTTTATGTCATTCTGTCATTTATCAAACTTCTCAATAATTCAGGCATGTTTGGGGTACCTGCTTGTGAAGCAGCTTGCATTAGTAACATAACAACCCCCTTTTGCAAAACTTAAGATTTTTTAAAAAATGCTAAGACTCAAAATGGGTGTAGTTTCTGAATTATGGATCAGCTGCAAGACAAACAAATTCAGTGGTGTTTACAACCCAGCAAGATGGGTGGGGTATAAATGATAAAGTTGTTGTTGTTGTTACATTATTGTGCAGCAGTTAGAAAGGAAATGGGGTGAAGTGGAAGAGATGCTGTGCGTTCTCACTGTGCATCCATGTGTGTGCATATTCACATGCCACATGCGTGCCCAAGAGGGTCACGACTGATATGGAAATTTTGACATTAGATTCTTGCCTTAGATGTTCCATGTATTTTTCCAATAGTAATTAAAGAAGTCTATATAGGATTATATCTCAATGTGTCAATGAATAATTTGATTCTTGTGTTTCTGCATTTTGCAACGCTCATGCTACACTGTGTAAACACTGAATCATTGCATTCCATGCTTATCCGACCCTAAAAAGGCGCAAATAACCAGCCTGGGAATTCATGAAGATTTTTAAACAGAAAATAAGCATCTTGCTACAGAAATGTGGGGGACCAAATTTAAGACTGGGGTGTGTGAGAAACCGAGAGAACCAAAACAGGCAGATCCTTCCATCCCTACTGCCAGTATGTGGCCCCCCTCAAATTACCCTAGGTGGAATGTGGCCCTCAACAGTGTAAAAGCCCTATAATAACTGCTGCTTTAATAAGCCAGCTACACTGCAGCACCATCTTACCACATTTGGAGAGTAGAGTAGCCACATGTTGTAACCATCACACTGTGATAGGAGGCAGGAAGCAACTGAGACCCAAATAAGCAACTTTGACGACTCCTGCAGGAAGGATAAGCAGGTACTGTGATGAAACTGCACAAGGTCAGATACATGAGAGCAGCTGCTCATGTGTAGATGTTCCATGAGATCATGAGTGAACTTTCTGAGCAGTTCAGTTTCCTGACAGTGTATGTGCTTCTTTTCTGATGTCCACGCTCAGTGCATGGAAAGCAGGGTGACAGTGTGTCAAGGAGCTGTCAGGGAGCCAGGTCAACCACAGGGCAGGCACACACACAGAAGGCACACAGCAGAGCCCTCTGGTTTGCCTTAATCCAGCAAAGACATAGCTGAAACTGACCACTAGCTCTGTCCATCCCCCTCTAACCTATCAGTCTGGATCCCTTCCAAGCAGACAGAGGCTATGTAGAGAGGCTGAGCTCCTCCTCTGGGCCTGTCTGGCCTGTTGCTCAGCAATGTGCAGGACTTTCCTTGAGAGGAGTGTCAGAGTGGGAGGAGAGCCAGCAGGACTGGGACCGTCCTGCTGCTGTGGAGCAGGGTCAACCTCTGACTCCTCTCTGTCCACACTGCTGCTCACACACTGTGACTCTCAGCCTCTCCCCCTGTCCTGGAAGGGCCTCCTTCTCCTGTCCTGACTCCCCTTTGATTGCTCAAACCTCCTGCTTCTAGCACCTCCCAGCTCATCCCTTCTGCAGACTGCTCTTCAGCGTCACACCACCAGGATCCAGGATGTAAGTTGTCTTCTTCTGTGCCCTCCCTGGAGGGCATCTTGGGTGGTTGGCTCCCACCACTCTTCCTCATCCAGCTAGTGGGCAGAGCACACTAGCACTCCCTGCTGCAGCTGTGATGGATGTACTTCTAACTACTCCTGCCACATCTTCTCCATCTTAAGAAGGAGAGCACATTGTTTCTGGTGCCTTGTTGGAAGTAAACCAAGTCATGATCAGCATATTAACAATTAATTTCTAGTACCCATTTCATTCCACAACCAATCCAAGAGTCGAGAAACTGGACTCTTACAGTCCAATCAGGAGATGAAAACCCGTCACAGGCCCCAGGTGCAAGATATCACTGATTAGAAATGGATGAGTGTCATTAATAACTTCAGTACCAGCCTTGAAATGAGGGTTGTAAATCCCAGGGGCCCTGGAACTTCCCCCCAAACCCAGCTTACCAGTTTTGGCCCATCACACTGAAACAACTCAACGGGGGGGGGGGGAGAGGTTCAGTTTTGAACTTAATCCTCCCAAGAAATAAATTTATCCATCACAGGATTTTACTAAATCCGGACAACCAAATTCCTGGAAATATTCATAAATACAATGCGAATAAGGGCAAGATTCAGATCTAAACTGGGCAATGTTTAGGGAATAATCTTATGCAGATGAAGCATGCAGCTGCCTAAATCTGGCAGATGGAGAATGTGCCTTTAAAATAGTATTTTGTGCTAGGGAACCAGGTCATGTAACTAAGTTTAACAGGCTTCAAACCCAGCTGGTATGCTAAATTATTTTATCAATTGTTTTTATTATACCAAACTAACATATTAATCATATAGATTTAGAACAACCCATAATATCTTTCCTTTCTACATTGGGACTACCCTAAGAATGCCTAATTCAAACCGAATGTATTATGGGTTGTTCTACCTATAAGAATCTGGAAAACATTTACACATCAGTTTGGATTGATAGGACTCACCTGTGTCTTGGGTGTTTCCTCCAAACTCACCCGGGTATTGGTTGTTCCCTCCGAACTCACCCAGGTGTTGGTTGTTTCCTCCGAACTCGCCCGGGTGCTGGTTGTTCCCTCCAATCTTACCCAGGTGTTGGTTGTTCCCTCCGATCTCACCCGGGTGTTGGTTGTTTCCTCCGAACTCACCCGGATGTTGGTTGTTTCCTCTGAACTCACCCGGATGTTGGTTGTTTCCTCCGAACTCACCCGGATGTTGGTTGTTTTCTCCGAACTCATCTGGGTGTTGATTGTTTCATTGTCTACCTCCTCTATTTCATCCATAGTTTCTTGTGTAGGAGCCCAGAAAGAAGGCTCACCTGTCAAGAAGTAAGAGAGTTATTTTCATTTGGACCTACCATCTCTTTCACATATACAGATCCATAAGTTTTGAGGCTCTTACATTTAGTTAGTATGTCTAACATTCATGCCTGGGATTTTATCCTACAGAGATCACCAGGATTGTAGAGGGACCGGAGGCACAGGGCATTGGAATTCAAGGATTTGTTTTCAGAGCAGGAGTGATTATGTCATCTGTTGGCGTGAGGCGGTAGCTAACTTGTGTGCTAGATTAGGCTAGCTAAAGTCCAAATATGGAAAATGATCAAGCAGAAGCTGGATACTTCCTTCTTTTTCTTTGATGGAATTCCATCTTCACCTGTGACACCATTTAAATAACCACTGAACTGGATAGATATGGAATCTAACTGTAGGCAGCCTCCTCATCTTATGCAGGACATGAATGGAGAGGATGAACAGGCAAAGAACACATGGACTTACTGTAGCTTTCTCTTACTGGCGAGGAGTGGAGTATTGAGTCAAGCCTTCTTTTATTCTGAAGTAAAGCTCTCAGAACTCTGTGTTGTGAGAGCCAATCAGAGGAAGGAGGCCAGAAGGTTCCAGGAAGCTGTTGACAATTGGGTTCTGAGATCATCCCTGCTTACAAGTCTGGTTTAGAATCACATTGTCACAGCAATTTAATATGGGTTGGTTGCTGGTTGGAGCTAGAATAGCACTGTGGCGAGCTGACTCAATAGGGAAGTCCCCTGCACAGAATTTCCATAGTGTAACCACATTCTTTTGCAGCCTTACTTCTTCCTTCTGCAATGTGAGGTTAACAACATTGACCTTTCTTGCAGGGTCGTCATTTGGACTCCAGTATAATTCCCAGGAAACATCTGAAAATGTTTTAGGCAAATGCTGTGTTTCATTTAGCTTCCAGCATTTCACATTTCAAAATAGCTGTTTTTAGAATGTTTCAGTTGTCATGCCAGACAATGTTCCATATTCCATGCTCCATGTTTCATATTCCAGCCCCCAATTGTTGAAGGCTCTTGGAACCACTCGCATATATTACAATGGTTTACTCTACAATAGTTTCTCCTTCACTGATTTAAAAGCCAATATGGTTTGTGTGTGTTTAAAAAGAATAATTAATCTTTCAATTTTTGAATACATGAATATATCCTTACAAACAAAACAATATCAAGAGTTTCCTGCCAGATTTTTTAAAAAAGTTATGTGCTTTAAATGTCCTGTAATTAGTAAAAGGCACTCCTGGCTACCGAGGGCATCTTCACCTCCAGTGACAGAGCTGGACCCAAGAACACCCAAAAGTTAAGTACCTGCTCCTCTAGGAAAACCTCAGCCCCATCCAAGGCAGGCAACTTACTGTCTTTCTAGATCCTGGAACAACTCACCCACACAGCTTCTGTCTTGCCAGACCCTATTTATCCATTCATCCAGACCACCACTGCACCCAGAGTACAGACCAGGGTCTTCCTGGTTATTCCCAATTCAGATGTTACTGAGAAACTTTGGTATCATCAGTATGCTGAAGACACCTTACTCCAAAACTCACAATGGCTTCATACAGATATTTGATAGCATCTGAGACAAAATAGTTCCCCACAGCACCCCATAGTTCAAGAACCAGCAAGCCAAGAAGTCATGCAATACTACCTTCTAGAATCACTGCAGAACATTGCTCCCTGATACCCACCCACCCCCTACATAGTCCAGGAATATATAATGGTCAATGGTGTAAAAAACTGGTGAGAGATCAAGAAATAGAACAAGGGACATACTCCCCTTGTCCCACTCTCTGCAAAGGTCATCCACCAGGGCAACCAAGACAGACTTAATCCCATTCCCAGCTCTGAGCCCAGATCGCAATCGGTTTAAATAATATTATGCAGACCCATTTCCATTTAGGTTCAGACATGGGTTCAGGACTGAATAGTCCTTGGAGATATCTGGAAGGATATCTCCAAATTTGTCTGGCAGGGCAAAAAGCCCCGAATAAAGTTTAAAATACTAACTGACTTGAAAGAAAGAGGGGGGTTTGCCCTGCCAGATTTGAGGTTGTATTATGAATCTGCAGCCTTCTGCTGGTTGAAGGATTGGTTTTTGTTGGAGAATACTGATGTCCTAGATCTGGAAGGGTTTGACAATGTCTTTGGTTGGCATGCATATTTGTGGTACGACAAGGTTAAAGCTCACAAATTGTTTAAAAACCATATTGTCAGAAAAGCATTATTCATGGTCTGGTTGAAATACAAAGACTTGTTAGAGGGCAAGACCCCGAGGTGGCTATCACCGATGGAGGCCAAGGCTCGAAAAAGACCCAACATGGAGGCCTATTGGCCGAAATATTGGGAAATAATTGAAAAAATTGGAGACAATTGGAGGCTGCAGAGCCAGGAGAAACTTAAAAATAAGGTGCGAGACTGGTTACATTATGCTCAAATTCAAGAGGTGTTTAAAATAGATAAAAAAGTTGGTTTCCAGGTGGAAAAATCGAAATTAGAGACGGAACTGTTAGAACCAAAGACTAAGATACTCTCTAGAATGTACAACTTGCTGCTTAAATGGAATACACAGGATGAGACAGTTAAATCGGCCATGATAAAGTGGGCGCAGGACATTGGGCATAACATTATGTTTGAGGACTGGGAAAGGTTATGGAACACCGGAATGAAGTTCACGGCATGTAATGCCTTGAAGGAAAACATTATGAAAATGATATACCGGTGGTACATGACCCCAGTCAAGCTTGCTAAAATATACCATTTGTCTGACAATAAATGTTGGAAATGTAAGGAGGCTGAAGGGACATTCTTTCACCTCTGGTGGACCTGCCCAAAGGTGAAGGCCTTCTGGGAAATGATACACAATGAGCTAAAAAAGGTATTTAGGTATACCTTTCCCAAGAAACCAGAGGCCTTCCTTCTGGGCATGGTGGACCAGAAAGTGTTAAAGAAGGATAGAACTTTGTTTATGTATGCAACTACAGCAGCAAGAATCCTCATTGCAAAGCACTGGAAGACACCAGATTTACCCACGCTGGAAGAATGGCAGACGCAGTTGATGGACTACATGGAACTGGCTGAAATGACTGGCAGAATCCGTGATTTGGGAGAAGAAATAATGGAGGAGGACTGGAAAAAATTTAAGGACTATTTGCAAAAACATTATAAGTTGTATGAATGTTAAGAATGTGTACGATTAGGAAACGTTTGCTTCAGCAACTTGAATAGGGGAATTTGAAATTAAGTTATAAGAAAGATGAGGTAGACAATATGAAGTAACCATACTATGTTCATTTACAGGGTACAAATAACTGAGATACAGTATTTTAAATTTGGAAACATAGTATTTGAAAGATACAGTAAGACATGAAATAAGGTAACAAATTGCTGATGTTACAATTGCAAAGAACACAGAATTTGGAAGATGTGGGGAAGTCCGATTGGAACTGTTAAAGTACTTTGGAAAGTTGGAATTTATGTATACTTTCTTTTTCTTACTTTTACTTTCTACTTTTTATTCTGTAAATTTCTGAATATCTGAAAGAAAACTTAATAAAATATTATTAAAAAAAAAAGGACTGAATAGTCCTTGGTTGCCCTGATAAATGGCCTCTATCAGGAGATAGATGGGTGAGTGAAACATGTTGCTCTTTCTAGATCTTTCGTTGGCTTTGGATACCATTCACCTCAGGTGAATGAGAATTGGAGACACTGTTTCAATCCTACATTTGGGACCACGTCCAGACAGTAGGAATGAGAAGTTGCCTTTCAGTCCTTTGGTGGCAAGGTTATCACCAATGCTATTTAATTTATATATGAAGCCGCTGGGAGCAGTCATTAGGAGTTTGCAGGCAAGGTGCTGTCTGCATGCAGATGACACACAGCTCTGTTCCTCCATGACAGAATGAGGAGAGGCCATACAATACCTTGGGCAGTGCTTGGGTGCAGCAATGGGATGGATGAAGAAGAACAAATTGAACTGGAATCCTGGCAAGGCAGAGGCATTGTGGGTGAGTAGTCCTCATGTCTGAGAAATTGATCAGTTGCCTACCCTGGATGAGGCTGGACTTCCCCTGAAGGAGCAGTTTGACAGTCTGGGTGTGCTTCTGGATCCAGCTGTGTCCCTGGAGGCTCAGATAGCATTTGAGGATAGAAGGGCCTTTTATCAAGTTCAGTTCATAGGCCAGCTGCAGGGGTTCCAACTTGAATAAAATATTGCGTGGACAGGCGGAGCCCCCAGATCCCGAGTGGCCCCCCATCATGTGGAATAACAAGTCAAGACAATGTGCTATGGGGTTAAATTGGCCACAACTTTATTAAATTTCAAATATGGGTAGACCTTGGCTCAGGCATTCTCCCTTCCCAGTCCCCAGCCGGGGACCTAGGGAGCATCAGGGTTATCCAGTGTGTGTGTGGGGGAGATAGGCCGGCTCTGGAGAACATATGTTCAAGGAGAGATAGCCCCCCCCCCCCGTTACGCCGCTGCCGCAGGGGAGAGCAATGACGACCTTTCGGCATACGGTCAAAGCTTCCCTTCAGAAACCCCTTTAACGGGGAACCCTGGTATCGCTGCTGCAAAGAGGAAGATTCCTCTAAAGGATTCCGGCCAAGGCCTGATACCGCCAAAGTTGTGACGTTTTGCTATGGGAAAGGTGAAACCTGCCAATGCAGGGAAATTCCTTTCCGGGCCTTTAACAGCGACCTTGACATAGCAGCGCCCGCATAGCTGTGAAGAAAAGTTAAACTGCAAAACCTGTGAAGAAAAGTTAACCTGCAAAACAAGACATTAACTGAGGGTGGGTAGGGTGGGAGAAGATCTGGAGCCAAGTGAGGATTCCCAGGTAAGATCCTCCCTCTATTGTGTGGGCAGGTAGTCCCTCCCCTACCTGGCCTGGTCTCCTTGGCAACGCTTCCCCCAGGCGGGATTGGACAGCTGACTGAGGTAGGTGGAGACCTCCTGGTATCCCACCTGAGGGAAGGCGAAGCCAAGCCTATGCTGATGGAGCCGCTCCAGATCCAGGGGTTGCGTGCGTCCACGCAAAGGGTGCCCCCCATTTTTATGCAGGGAGCGGTCATTGGGGGAACCCAGGTAAGACCCACCCCACATAATCAATCACAAGATGTGGTGTGCACACACCATTTGAATGTCCATCAATTTTTTTTTGGGGGGGGGGCTGGCCTCCTCAAATATTTTATTGGGGGAGCCAAAGGGACCTCAGCCACTAGGAGTTGGCACCTATAGCTAGCTATGACCATTCCTGAAGCAGAAAAGATTGGCCACAGTAGTTCATATGTTGGTTACTTCCAGACTGGATTACTGCAATGTGGATTTATTTGAGACTTTGTTTGACCACATTGAACATTTGCTGATGGGAGTTAGACCTAGTCTGCTGTGCTTTTCCTTGTGCTCAGAGATTTGCATTGGTTGTTGATTTTCTACTGGGTGCTACTATTAGCATATAAAACCCGTAACAACTTGGGACCTGTTTATTTGTGAGACCACCTTACCCCATATATGCCCACTCGATATGTGGACAAATATAAAATGTGAAATGCCAATGGGTGTTTTAATCTCTTTTTAGTTTATTGCTGAGTTTTCTTTTTAAAAAATAATAGTTTAACTCTTTTTACTGATGCCGTTTTGCTTTATTCTATTTGTAAACTGCTTTGAGGCTTTATTTACTGTCAAGCAGTATATAAATGTCACAAAATAAATATGAAATAAATGTATGATAATATCAACCAATTTCCTCTAGGAGTGTCTGCAGCTACGTCACCATGACCTCGTAAGTTTCGTTGACATCCATCTGTCTCACGAGACAATGGAAGAGTGCACCTTTTGGAGTGAAGTCCAACCACTGGAGAGTTACAGCGTCTGCTGTGGCTGTAGAGACTGATACAGGAGAGACACGTTTTATTGCACCTGGGGCAGATGAAAGTGTACAGTTGTGCTGATGCGGGCGTACCATGGTGTTTTTTCTTTCTGCGCTCCTCCCAGTGGTGACCTCTCCTCTGGTACTCTCAGAAGTACTTGCCCATAAAATGGGATGCTTGAGACAGGGCTGTAATCATTAAGTGCCATCAGGTACAAGGTGGGCTTTTTGATGAGTGGCTGCGTTATCTCCTTTTTCAAGGTATCTGGTGCCGTCCCGTCATGCAGAGACCTGTTCACCACACCATGAACCCACCCATTTTATGCCCCTCCTCCTGCTAGCATTACTCAGCAATGATGGACAAGGATCCCAAAAGCACATTAGTAAAGGTAAAGGGACCCCTGACCATTAGGTCCAGTCGTGGCCGACTCTGGGGTTGCGGCGCTCATCTCACTTTATTGGCTGAGGGAGCTGGCGTACAGCTTCCGGGTCATGTGGCCAGCATGACTAAGCCACTTCTGGTGAACCAGAGCAGTGCACAGAAACGCCGTTTACCTTCCTGCCGGAGCGGTACCTATTTATCACCTTGCACTTTGATGTGCTTTCGAACTGCTAGGTTGGCAGGAGCCGGGACTGAGCAAAGGGAGCTCACCCCGTCATGGGGATTCAAACCACCGACCTTCTGATCAGCAAGTCCTAGGCTCTGTGGTTTAACCCACAGCACCACCCACATCCCTAGTAAAAGCACATTATTGAGCACTTATTCACAAGCACCTTCTCAAAGTTTGAAGGGCTTTCACTCAGAAGATGGATTAAGCTTGTTTTCAGCTGTTTCAGACGGCAGAACCTTATCCAACGGATTCAAGTAACAAGAAAGGAGATTCCAACTAAACATTTAGGAAGAACTTTCTGACAGTAAGAAATATTTGGCAGAGGAATGGACTAATTTGGAAGGTGGTGGGTTCTCCTTCATTGGAGGTTTTCAAGTAGATTTCAGATGCCCATCTGTCAGATAACTGTGATTCCTGCATTGCAGGGGACTAAGGCATGATGGCCCTTCGAGTTGCTTCCAGTTCTAGGATCCCATGAAAGCCATAAGACTGCAAAACCTTAAACTGATCCCACAACGCATGGCTTGATGGAACATTGGAAGTCTCACTCTTGATGCATCTATTGTGACATCTCTGTCATTACAGAAACAAATGGATTTGTCCTTAAGGTACCTAGGAGGTCTCTAAGGTATCCCAGGTTCCATCTGTCAAGATAGGTGTTAACAGCCAATGGACTGCCTTCATGAGCTGATTTCATGGGGACATGATAGAAGCAGCAAAGTAGACCCCCTCTTCACTGCTTTCACCACCATGCAATGGGCACCATTATGTGCTCTAAGCTTGTGTTTTTTCATCTTTGCAGCAATTGTTATGCCGCCTGTGCCCCAGCTGTTGTATGGACTATTCCATGTAGTCTATACCAATATACCAGGGAGTCAAATGTGCTCCACCATCCTTAAGGATTACACTCAGAAGCTATCATATCTATGGCCTTATGGTCACCATCCTATAGTGAGATGAGGGCCTAAGTTCTACCCACTGGAAAGATCAACCAGCGCATTAGATCTTCAGGGGTAGAATATCCTCATGGATATGGGAAGGTCTGAGGGCTCCCTAACTGTTGCTGTTTGTCCTCCTCCTCCTCCTCCTCCTCCAAACTTTGTCCACTGCCATAATACCACAGAACCAACCCTCAATCCCTGATCACTGTCATGTAGGCTTGCCAAATACCCTCAGTAGGAATCCAACTACTGATCCGGTTTACTAGACATTTTCAATCAATATGTCCCTTTCATAGACACCTCTGTGATGATGATGGCATTGAAATTAAATTGAAAAGGAGGAAAAAGGAGTTGTCTCTTACTGGTTTTCTAATGTAATTGAAGGTTCCTATGAGCAACTAGCTAGAAGTGGGTCTCCCTGCCACAGCATGCATGGAAATCAATGAAATAAATCCCTCTGGGAATGACAGGTCTTAAAGACAGCATTAGCTTTCCAAGGGATTAATATGGGCATCGGGTCGTTTATGTACCGCTTCTGGAACTGGAGCTATTTCATTTGGCATACTGTGGGTGATCACCCCTTGGAGAAATATGGGAATGGGGGCATCCTACCCTAGAGGAGACTTCAGTGCTGTTAAAAGTGGCAGCTAGGTGCTGGGATGATAAACAGGCAATTTTTCACCCCAAGGTGGTGCTGTGGTGATGAACAAAGTGGTGATCATAGCCTATGTGATGGGCTGTCATTCAGGATGAATTATGGGCCTCTACAGTAAATTCAGGGTGGCGCTGTGGGTTAAACCACAGAGCCTAGGGCTTGCCAATCAGAAGGTAGGCAGTTCGAATCCCCACGACGGGGTGAGCTCCCATTGCTCGGGCCCTGCTCCTGCCAACCTAGCAGTTCGAAAGCACATCAAAGTGCAAGTAAATAAATAGGTACCACTCCAGCGGGAAGGTAAACGGCGTTTCCATGCGCTGCTCTGGTTCGCCAGAAGTGGCTTAGTCATGCTGGCCACATGACCTGGAAGCTGTACGCTGGCTCCCTCGGCCAATAAAGCGAGATGAGCACAGCAACCCCAGAGTCGGCCATGACTGGACCTAATGGTCAGGGGTCCCTTTACCTTTACCTTTACCTTACAGTAACTACATGTCTGTAGTAAATAAGTAAAGGCAACAAAGATGTAGCCTGCTCTGGAGTGGAATCTAATTTGGCCCAGCCAAAATACTGTTCACAAGACATTCACAAAAATAAAATAAAATACTAAGACCTGGAAGGGGGGCAGCTGCTGAGATATTTGTCTGTTGCCTTCCTGAAAATTGGACACTTTCATGGCACGGAAAAGCCTGAAAATGGTGTGGAGTGTTCAGACAAAAAGGAAAACTGCAACATCATCATTGTCATTATTCAGTTTAAGAGTAACCACAAGAAATTTCTTGGAATATGTTTTTTTATTTCTTTTTTAAAAAAACCCTATTTAATAAATGAACAAACTGCATATACTGCTTAACAAGTTTCTACTTGGGCGATGGCATCTTGAAATGTACCCTCCTGGGATTCCGGGTGTTCACTTTCCCCCTGATTTCCACAAAGGTTCTGTTTCTGGTTTCTGGAATGAACTTGAATATATAAACAAAGATGGCGAAACCAAGTGGACAGAAAAAGAGTAAGCTATAGGACCCAATATGTTTCTAGAGATGGGGAAAATGGGGGCAGGGAAGGAGAGAAAGAGGCAGACATGAGTATAATGTAGAGCTCTATCTATCATCTATCCATCCATCCATCCATCCATCACACCCATATATCCTTCTTGGCTCCACCCAGCTCCCCTCATTATTTTGGGGGGGAATAATGGTTGTAAGGAGCAAAGTCTGCACTCCTCATCAAAATTACCTTCAAAATCACTCACCTCTATGAAAAGGAAAATCAGTCCTACGAGGAAGCTTAGGAGCCAATGCAAAAATTGTGCAATCACAATAGCTGAAGATCGTGATGACTGAAGGAAGAGCTCCACCACTAGCACAGATGGAAGTGGACCTTTGGTGGATAGAAAGGATTCCAGGAATTTAATACTCCCCACCCTTGAAAATTGATCTTTCCTAGTTATTGATTTACTTGATTCAGTTTATTACTGCTTCCAGTGAGACATCTCAGATCAATTTCACAGTAAAAGCAGCCACAATAAAAACAACTAAAGACAATCCCGTAATTTCAAAACCAATACAGGTGCAGATTAGGATGAAGATCTCCACTTAAAGGGCTTGGTGAAAAAGGAAGGTCTTCAAAAGGTGCCGAAAACACAACCAAGATATGGTGCCTTGCTGATGAGTGATGGGAGAGGATGCCAAAGGCAAGGTAGCACCACACTTAAGGTCAGATTTGGACATCATATGGAACAGACCTCCTGATGAGATGGTATTTGCAATAGGTCCCTGTGGCGTTTGCCCTCCTATGTGTGTGACAACATACTGGGTTCATAGGGAAAGAGTTAACTAATTGTAAAATGGCTAACCAATGGGAACCCAGGGGGCAGAGTTAGCTGTGTATAAGGTTTAAGCACAGAGGGTTTTTTAGAGAGTGAGTTAGAATTAGAGTTGTTGAAAAGACAGTCTGGAGTTAGGAGAAACAGAGAAGATAAGTCTGTGGGTTGGGTTGGGTTGGGCTAGTCTGGTGTGAGAGAGGGAGAGAATTTGTTAAGAAGAGTCAGTCAAACAGTTGAGATAATCAGTCAGAAGGTATTAGGAAGGTATAGGCCAGTGAAGAAACTAAAGTTAATATTCTTGTTGTTTAGTCATTTAGTAGTGTCCGACTCTTCGTGACCCCATGGACCAGAGCACGCCAGGCACCTCTGTCCTCCACTACCTCTCGCAGTTTGGTCAAACTCATGCGGGTAACCTCGAAAACACTATCCAACCATCTCGTCCTCTGTCGCCCCCTTCTCCTTGTGCCCTCCATCTTTCCCAGCATCAGTGTCTTCTCCAGGGAGTCTTCTCATGAGGTGGCCAAAGTACTGGAGCCTCAGCTTCACGATCTGTCCTTCCAGTGAGCACTCAGGGCTGATTTCCTTAAGAATGGATACGTTTGATCTTCTTGCAGTCCATGGGACTCTCAAGAGTCTTCTCCAGCACCATAATTCAAAAGCATCAATTCTTCGGCGATCAGCCTTCTTTATGGTCCAGCTCTCACTTCCATACATCACTACTGGGAAAACCATGGCTTTAACTATACGGACCTTTGTTGGCAAGGTGACGTCTCTCCTTCTCAAGATGCTGTCTAGGCTTGTCATTGCCCTTCTCCCAAGAAGCAGGCGTCTTTTAATTTCTGCAGTGATCATGGAGCCCAAGAAAGTAAAATCTCTCACTGCCTCCATTTCTTCCCCTTCTATTTGCCAGGAGGTGATTGGACCAGTGGCCATGATCTTCGTTTTTTTGATGTTGAGCTTCAGACCATATTTTGCGCTCTCCTCTTTCACCCTCATTAAAAGGTTCTTTAATTCCTCCTCACTTTCTGCCATCAAGGTTGTGTCATCTGCATATCTGAGGTTGTTGATATTACTTCCGGCAATCTTATTTCCAGCTTGGGATCACTTCATGGATCACTGCCTTGCCGTGGCGAAGGGGCTTGAAGAACTCAGAGAAGCTATGAACTACGCCGAGTAGGGCACACAAGATGAACAGGTCATAGTGGAGAGTTTTGACCAAACGTGATCCACCTGGAGGAGGAACCGGCAAGCCACTCCAGTATCCTTGCCAAGAAAACTCCATGGACAAAGACAACAGGCATATAAAGTTAAGATACTGACAGGTATATTATCTGAGAAACCATAAACTTGTTAATGTTTGTAAAATAAACTTGGGGTTTTTTTGTTCACTTTTAACAACTGACTGGACTCAGTGTTTTACCAGAGAGTAACTGGTTGGTGGCAGCAGTAAAGAGAGCACAGTGGTGGCACAGGAATCAATAGACCATTAGACTTCCGGGTTAGCGCCATCGGCGAATGGCGGAGTTCCTCCGATCGGAGGAACAGGCTCCGTGGAAATTGGGGCTTCCCGCCGCGGTGAAGGCGGGGGCCCGCCAGAAATCCCAGGCGGAGGAAGCCTGGGAACGTGGGGTTCGGCAGAGCACCAAGAGCGCCTCCCCTACTCACGAGGAAACCCATTTTGGGGGCTCCGGAGTGAAGTGGGGTGAGCAGCGCGGTGCATCGAACCGATCACTATTTCCATGGAGGGAAGCCGCGCAGCCATCGCCGGAGAGCGCTGACTTTTTCCTGATGACATTTGGACTCTAAATCAAGTACCCGTGAGTAAAAACGGAGAATCGGATTAAGAACTTGCAAATTTTATGAATTAGGCACGAAGCGGGAAGGTGTAAACAGGAAGTCCGCCTCCCGTTCTTGTATACAGATTGAAGCAAAGACCTTGCAACCTAATAGCTTAAAAAGTCTTTTTAAAGTTGGAAATTTCCTGCACCCATAATCAACAAAAACCCCCTTGGAAGCAGGAGAAAAGGGGGGGGGAGTTTGACTGTTTAATCCTGCAGGAAGTGAGAGAAGGAATATAAGTTTCTACCGTCCCAAACCTGGGGACGGGGTATCGGGACAGAATCTGCTTGAGATGTCCATCGATTGAAAGTGGAGTACTTTGACAGATAGAAAAAAGAAAAGAAAAGAGAAACAAACTAACTTCAATGCCACCTTCTGCATTTCTGCTCTTTAAAGAAACAAAGTATTTGAAATTGAAAGGACCTTGAAACGAAAGTAACTTTCTTTGTTTGATACTTTCCTGAAAAATGGATACAAATAGAAATTGTGTCCCCTAGATTGACTACCTTGGTACTAGGTGCACATCTAAAGGCAAGGAGTTCTAAAACCCAGAGTCCACCAGGAAGAAGGCTCTCTAACACAGTGTTTTTCAACCACTGTTCCGCGGCACACTAGTGTGCCGCGAGATGTTGCCTGGTGTGCCGTGGGAAAAATTGAAAAATTTGAGAGATATTTTTTTTAAAAAAAATGTCAAATTTTCGCCCACAGGCGGTCCGCTCTCATCCGATTCCCCATAGAGAGCAGCGGGGCTCTGACATCTCCCTCTCTGCACACAGTGGTGGTGTGCCTCGTGATTTTTTTTCATGAAACAAGTGTGCCTTTGCCCAAAAAAGGTTGAAAAAAACTGCCCTAGAGGGAGCCTGTCAGTTTGCAGTTTCAGCTTACATATGTGAGGTTTGCACCGTGGGAACAGCCGTTTGACCTTGTTTTTGAACAGAAATGTCTTGGCAGGAAGGCTTGGTGTCTGCCCTTGACAGGACTAATGCTTTGCTGGTGCAGCTGTCCGTGAAAATGAGCCTGATGAATGAAAAATTGGACTTTATGAGTGCTGTGGCCAGTGAATATGATCTAACAGGGAACAAGGATAAAGAAGCTACACTGCGATCAACTCAGGAATCCGGTTTGACAAGGCAAGTTCAAGGGCAGATGGAGAAGGAAGAGGTAGTAGCTATTCCCTACACAACACAAATGATAAGATCCAAAATTCTACAGGAACAAAAGCTATTGCCTTGGAAGATTGAATCTGGAGAGTGCTGGGAAGTATTTGAAGTCAAGGAAGCTTTTTACTCTAGTGGGACTGTGAAACAGGTGAACAACTATTTGGACAAATACTTTTTGGACTACAAAGATGAAGATCGGGAGTGGAACCGGGGGGAAGGGGACAATCAGATGAAGAAAAATGGAAATTATTACTGAATGGAACCCTCCGGAGACCCACTCCCCCAGAAACTAACAATAGACAAGGAACTGCGTAAGTACAAACAAGAACAAAAAAATCTGCAGAAGGGGCCTAGAAGAGACTTAAGGGCCTCCGACATTAGAACACCAGATTGATGGACTAAGTAATGGACAGAGAGGACTGATATGACCCGAAACCAGGAAGAAGGGACGTTGGATGAAAATTAGAAATATGAAGGGAATTTTTTATGTCAGCTTTGGTATTAGTGTAATATTATTGAAATTTGAGGGATTTTGTCGGAAAGGAACTAAATTGGCTTTAGTAGAAATGTTTTTAAGGAGAAATGCATGAATGTGATGTGTTTGTGAAATTTTAAGATTTTTAACATAAGATAAGGTTAAATGGAGTAAGGTAAATTGAATAATAGATTATATTGAAAGAGGGAAAGGTTATGTTGATCAATAAATAGGATAGAGTGTGAAGATTAACTATTTAAACTAAAATAGAGAAATATGGGAAGAATTTGCTGAAATAACGAACTAAACTAGAATACAAAAAGGGAGGTGTGAGGACGTTCAAGAATTAAGCAAATGAAAAACTGTAATTTGAGATTTGTATTTTCTCTTTTTATTTTTTCATATTTTTTTCTGTTTTCCTTTTTGGGTTAGGGCTGGGGGTTTTTATATGTATTGATGAAATTCTGAATAAATATCATTTGAAAAAAATAAAAAATAAGGAATCAATAGACCATTAAACGTCCGGCGACCCTGTGTGATCGCCATAGTCCCTACCTTCAGAGCACAGTCGTTAATGGGTATATAAGGAGTGAGATGATCTCTTAGGCATTCTTATCTCAAGCTGTATGGGACTTTGCACACCAGGACCAATACCTTGAACTTAGCTTTGTAGCTAAACAACAGCCAGTGTAATCCCTTTAGTAGCAGTGTAACAGGGTAGTGAAAGACTGCGCCAGTGACCAGTTGGGGCATTACTTATTGTGCTAGTTGTAGGTTCCAGCCCAACCTCATCGGTACGCTGGGAAAGAAGGCATTGCAGTAATCCATCCTAGAGGTTTTCAGAAAATGGATGGCATGGCCCACAATATTTGGCAGGGTTCAAACTCAGTTTGCTGATCCTTATCCAGACCTCTACTGAGTCAAGGTGCCAGTGCAGGGTTTTGCAGACTTCTCCTGATACAGATGTTACAGAGAAATGGAAATTGGGTATCATTACTGCACTGATGACAGCTCTTCCCAAATCTGCTAATGACTATTCCCATAATGGCTTCATAGGGAAACAGCATGGAGGAAAATACGGTACCCTGCAGGATGTCAGAGCACAATTGGCAGGGGACCAAGAGGTAATCACCCAGGGCTCTGAAATAGGAGGAGTAGAACCACTGTAAAAGAATGTCTCCAATGCACACCACCGTCAATGGTATCAAATGCTACCAAAATATCAAGTGAAAATAACCACATGCTCTTACTTTCCTCTGTGTCACTGCCTTGTCTTTACTTCTCTGGTATACCAAAGTGTAGAATGGCATCTTCTGCACCGGAGAGGGCAGGGTGGAGGGTACTATCTCCTCTGCCTGATGCCAGGTGCTGGCTCTCATGGCTAGCTCCAAGATGGATGGGTGTCCTATGAATCACAGCAACTCCTCCCTCTCCATCACCCCCCAACACCTGCAGCCTGTCTCATGCTACATCGTGTATATTGACAGGCACATCTGGATGTGATTAGGTTCTCCTAGCTCACCCACCCAGGTCTCAGCAACACATCTCACATGAACAACCTTCTCCATGTTCAAGTTAGATCTAACTCAGGTTGCCACAGCACACACAGCAGACAGGCAGCCATGAATCTCTCTATGTGAGGAGTGCAACATTAATAGTAACTCCCTAGCCTTCTATGGTGAATTACCAACTCCCCATAGCCGTGTCTTTCTACCATGATCACTTACATTGATCACTTATTCATCTCTCCCCCATCATCTAAAGAGCTCAATGCATCATCTAAGCACTTACCTGGCCCAATGCCATATGCAAAAAGGAATATGCAGATTAAGATTACGATGAAATACCCCATATCTGAGATGACACTCTGTTGGAGAAAGTAGACTGTATTTCAGTTATGTACTTGTGATCTTGTCAGGTGCCCTTTATTTCATAAAAGTTATATACTGCTTGATTATTTTTTGATATACCTCAAAGTGCATAAAAAGGTAAAGGACCCCTGGACATTTAAGTCCAGTCAAAGGCGACTATGGGGTGCAGCGCTCACCTCGTTTCAGGCCGAGGGAGCTGGTATTTATCCAGACAGCTTTCCAGGTCATGTGGCCAGCATGACATAGAATTATGCTGCGAGTCTATAATTCACATAATCCCTAACCATTGATCATATTGGTTGGGGCTGCCGGGAGTTGGGTCCAAGAGCAAAACTCATCTTTCCATTTGCTATCCCTTATTCCTTAAAATTCTGGCCCACAGAATGCAGTAGGTAGTGCAAAACAGCAAGAACTGAGCCCCTGTGAAATCTGTCATCTTAGAATGCAGCATCCATGTACAGCGGTACCTCTGGTTAAAAACGGAATCCGTTCCGGAGGTCCGTTCGTAATCGGAAACCACCTGTAACATGAGGCGCACTTTCACTAATGGCGCCTCCCGCCACCTGTGTCCCTCCGGCGCGCAATTTCCGCTTGCATCCTGGGGCAAAGTTCGCAACCAGGAGCGGCTACTAACGGGTTAGCAGAGCTTGTAACTCGGAGCATGCGCAACCAGAGGTACCACTGTAATGTTCACAGGGTGGAGACTATGCTCATTCTTATCCATTCATAGAAACATAGGAGGCTGAATTATACCTGCCAACATTTGAACTTGAGCCCCCATGACTGGAAGTTTTTAAGCAGAGTTGAGATGGTGAATTGTCATGGATGCTTTAGCATCCATGTGCCGGGCTCCCGCGCCTTGCGGAGAGCTGCGCAAAGCCTGGGCGTGCTGAGCTCAGCGCGCCCAGCCTTTGGCATGCAGGCAACTCTTCGCAAGCAGTGGGAGCCCAGCGCAGGGCTCCTGCGTCTTGCGGAGAGCCGCGCGAAGTCTGGAGCGCAAGAGGGGTCGGTGCGCACCGACCCCTCTCGCTCTCCAGGCTTCAGCGAATGCCTGCATTCGCCCCATAGGATGCACACACATTTTCCATTCATTTTTGGAGGGGAAAAAGTGCTTACTATGGGGCGAAAAATACGGTACATAGTGCATGTTATAGGGGAAGTGGGCTAGAGGAAAGCCCATTTAGCGATTCTCAGCTCTAAATGCCACCAGTTACAAACCTGCTGTTCCATGGCCAGAGTTAACAGGACACAGATGAAACAGCTCACCCCAAAGCCAATGAGAAGCGAAAACCTGCGCCCCTTATAATCAGTAATAAAAATCTAAAGAATATAAAGACAAAGATAAAATTACTAAGCATATAGAGGAATAAGACATGCTGAAGAGGTATCAATTTGGCTTCTCTAAAGGTACGTCCTGCTATACTAGCATTTTAGAGTTTCTTCTTATTTGTTTAGTGAATGTCTTCCAGTAGCACCTTAGAGACCAACTAAATTTGTTATTGGTATGAGTTTTCGTGTGCATGCACACTTTTTCAGATACACTGAAACAGAAGTCACCAGACCCTTATATATAGTGAGAGGGTGGGGAAGGGTATTACTTAGAAGGGTGGTGGGAATGGGTGATTGGCTGATAGGTGTGGTAAACCTGTTGAAGACTGTTAAGGACTGCAATTGGTCTTACAGGATAAAGCAGGGGGTGAGATGGCTAAAAATAGCTTTATCTTGTATAATGAGATAAGAATCCAATGTCTCTATTCAGACCAGGTCTCTCCATGGTTTGAAGTTTGGTAATAAGTTACAATTCAGCAACTTCCCTTTGCAGTCTATTTCTGAAATTATTTTGTAATAAGACAGCTACTTTGAGATCTTGTATAGAATGTCCTGGGAGATTGAAATGTTCTGCTGGTTTCTCTGTCTTGTGATTCCTGATTCGACTATGGCAGACCAACATGGCTACCTACCTGTGATTAGTGAATGTTTGTGCAAGAAAGTTATGAATTGCAGGGGCCGGTCTGGATGATATTCTGTGCTCATTCCAAACCTATGATTCTATGATGGGGGAAGGGGAGCGGAATCATAATTACAGATCAAAATGTAGAGAGCACGTGGCAACACAGAAACATATTGGGATATTTTAAAAAACACACACAAAAAGATCAGGGCAACTCTTTAGGTTCACATACAAGCTTACATTAAGCAAGAATCCATGTAAAAACAACAGAGGAAGGAAGGTTTGCCACAACTGTGTGTATACATGAGTGTCAAGGATCTTAAATAAGAAGGAGTTGAATGAAAGCCTGTAAATACCTACTCAAACAAATCAGGACTTAACAGTAAAGTAAGTGTGCAGAGATGGTTTAGCTTCCAGATGTTGTTGGACTACAACTCTTATCAGCCTCAGTCAGAATGTTCAGTTATTGGGAATGATGGGAGTTATAATCTAACAAATTAAGGAGAGCACCATGTTAACTATCCTGGGTGTATAGATTGCAGTCTTTTGGACATAGCTATACAACAGTCCTAAACTGGTGTAGCACTGATTTCCTTTTTTCATATTTGGAAAGTATAAATTCTGTGGTAGTAGGACAGAAATAAGGCACATTCTCCTTAGAAAACAAAAGGCACAAACGTAAGAGTCCTTGCTCTCACCAACTCAAATTTTATTTAAACAAAAAATTCAAATTCTAAACTAATTTGCAAATTGATTTTTAAAAAACCCCTTCGGACAGCTTCCAAGAAGCCAGGTAGTATATGCTAATATGTAGGACTGCTCTTCAAAATAATACTCAGACAACACATGTAAAACTATAATTCTTGTGGTTTTTATGAAAGGGGGGCACTTAAATTGGCGCAAAATAGTTGTAAAATGTTGCATGCATTTCCAAGATCTAGAAGGTTAGTGAGAAAGAGGTAGAAGATGCTTACCCCAAATACCATTGAGATACATAAAAAAGTGGTGGCTGCTATTGTCGCAAATCGGGATGAATATATCCCCATATGTATATTTCTGAGGTTTGTCTCTGCATAAGAGTATGCCTGAAAAGAAGATGCATACCATTACAAGTCTTATCTGAATGGAAGAAAAAGAATGTTGACAAAGATACATAACCGACCTGATTCTGCAGGACTTTCTTCGTATTTCGCACTGAACCTTGGATATCAGCTGCCCCTAATCTAGCATGATCTCTATAATTGTCTCGACTCTTTAAGTAACATATCCTATGCTTCAGAGCTGCAATTGTCCTGGCATCCTCCTCCATTTCCACATTTTCCTCAGTCTGCTGGACATGTAACTTGGCATGAAAATTCACATCTCCCTACAGCTTTTCTACACATTAGAGCAGAGCTTTCCAAACTTTCCATGTTGGTCACACACTTTTTAGCCATGCGCCTTTTTGTGACACACCAATTTCAGTTTCACTAGCAAACTGGTGGGTTGCCTGTTCCCTTTCCAGCCCCAGGAGGAGTGTGGGGCACATTGGCGCAACGCACCTACACACTGCAGCCGACACACTAATGCGTCGTGACACACAGTTTGGAAAGCTCTGCATTAGAGGATCCAAGTTGGAAATGAAGAGAGCTATTCCCTAGAAACAGGCCCTTCTAAGATAAGGGAGAGTTGACTTGGATCTCTTCCTTGCAAAATCAGGTCCTACTGCCACCAGGTATATGTCTGATAAAAATTGCTGCAGAAGTTCTAATGTATGTACTTTGGCATGTGATTGATCAAACAATTTCATGTAGCTGGATTATTTTGTGGAATGCAGTCTTGCTTTTCTCTGATAATTGAGAAAGCTTTTTGGGGGGAATCATCTCCTTCAATGGAATAGCATAAATATCCCTTTCTTAGAGCATCTTCCCCAATTCCATTTGAGAGCATGCATGCAACCTTTTGCATGTGTCCAAGCCTTGCTGATTCAGGTAATTATTATTTAATAAGGGTATTTCAGCTCTGCATCAGTATTACAGGTTGGTAACGTTAGCTTGTAGTATGTAATGTTCTTATGCTATATATAACGTTTTTAACCTTCTTTTATTTGTATCTGCAAGCTGCCTTGAGTTTCATAAGGGAAAAAGGCAGGGTATAAATGGACACCTCCACCAAAAATTTGTTGCACCATCCAAAAGATTAGCTCCACCACTTGGCTTGGATTTTGGAATTATTGAAAAGTTAACGAGAATACAATTCACATTTAAGAAACAATGTCAGTCAATAACCCTACATGACTCGCCATTCAGGTTTACCCCAATGACTTCAGCGCTCTGTACTTCCTGAACCTTTAAAGGTAAAGGTAAAGGGACTCCTGACCATTAGGTCCAGTCGTGGCCGACTCTGGGGTTGCGGCACTTATCTTGCTTTATTGGCCAAGGGAGCCGGTGTACGGTGTGGCCAGCATGACTAAGCCGCTTCTGGCGAACCAGAGCAGTGCACAGAAATGCCGTTTACCTTCCTGCCAGAGTGGTACCTATTTATCTACTTGCACTTTGACGTGCTTTCAAACTGCTAGGTTGGTAAGAGCAGGGACCGAGCAACGGGAGCTCACCCCGTCGTGGGGATTCGAACCGCCGACCTTCTGATCGGCAAGTCCTAGGCTCTGTGGTTTAACCCACAGCACCACCCCGTCCCTCTGGAACCTTTACCCCTCAGCAATGTCATCTTTCCTGTAGAGCAAGACCATTTACTTGGGCAGCAGTGGGAAATCTGCAGCCCACCATGTGTTTTTGGACAAGAACTCCCATTATCCCTGACCACTGGCCATATTGGCTTCGCCAATGAGAGCTGGAGTCCCAACAATACCCACAAGCCTACAGTTTCCCTCTCCTTGTGTTACAGAGTTTGATATTTCTAACACTTGGAGAAGCATCTGAAAAACAGAACAGGGGCAAAGAATGCGGCCATCCATAGAGACAAACAGTGGTAGATCGTATGACAGAGACTCTCCTCCTGGAAGAGAGGGGAGTGGTTGTGGGCGGGAGCCGAGCTCTGCCTCTAGCAGGGGGCATTGCCCCCTGCCTCCCACTCACCTGGCTGGCACCCACACCCATCAGCCGGCACCTAACCAGGTGCCTCCGAGGGGGCGTGTACAGCAGCCTAAATGCTGCTGCGCCAGCCCCTCCTCGGCCTCACTCTTCGTCGTCCCGTCACAAGTCACCCACCCTCCACTCCCTTTGAGCTCAGGGTCTTAGTTTTCTTTGGCCTTGCTATGGACCTTAGGTTGGTTGCCCTGGTTGTCTGGGGGGCCTGGTAGGAATTTTTCCATTTGGCATTAGGCTTTTTGGTTTTTTCGCCTACCTCGTAGCAATCGTCACAACTTTCGTGGTATTGGTGGGTAGGTTAGGCATTGGAATAATGTGTTGTGGAGTGTCGAAGGGCTAGGTGTGGCCATCGCCTATGCCTTCAATTTTTGGGTATTCCGTTAAAGGAATCTGGCGGTTGTGTATTCTGTCTGATGCCTGCTTGGCGGGAGGCCATGGCACGACCCTCGGTGACATCAGGGGAGAGCCTATAGTTGGATTAGCATCAACAGGCTCCACCTACTGGTGAATAAACCCCCCCTTGTTTTAGACTCACCCCTCTCTGAGGGGGTGGAGTCATAGCTGACGTAATCCAATGCCTAAGCCAATACCTTTTCACTTGCTGTAATCAATAAAGTTGTGGCCTTTTCTTGCCCATTAACCTTATAACACGTGTCCTTGTGTATTCATTCCATTTTGCGGGGATCGGGTCCTCGAACCACAACCTCTAAATTGAATGTACAACAGGGGCCTTCATTTTGCCAAGCTCAGCCTTCCTTACCACACTGATGCCACTGAACTGTTGTCCAACCATCACGACAATTATGGCAATGACTTGCCTTCGCAGTTTTTTGGCACATAGCAGTTTAAGAGGTTTCATGTTCTTTTCTGAATTTTCAACAATGTCCTCCTGATGGAGCTCTTCAATCTCATCCTCCACATCATTTCTGTTCCTTAGTTTCTTCAGTGCTATGTTAAGAATAGAGGCAGAGAGGATCAGACTTCAATAGAGGTACTTTCTAAAAGAAGAAGAAAAAAGGAAGAGGCTGGTAACAAAGGAAAAGTTGGATGAAGGAAGTCAAGAGGGTGAAATCTTTCCAGAATGCTTGGGAGCCATTGAATGCCATAAATACAGAAGTCAGAATGCTCACTGCAGAGCAGTAAATATACCACCAAGGTCAAGTGGATGCCTCTATCGTGAATGAATACAATAAAGGAAGCATTTCAAGGTAAAAGAAAAAAGGGGGGGGGGAGTTTGTTTTGGAAAATAGAAGTCATGTCCAAATAAGAAAAACAAAAGCAGAGCAGAAGCTTTAGCAAAAGAAAGGCAGGGAGGCATAAACAGAATCTGAGGAGCATATTACTAAAAAAAAATTAAGAATGATAGAAAATTATGGGGGAAAGAGGTCATCACTCCAAGGGACAAGAAGTATATCCCTTAGAAGTGGTCCATTCCTTCATGAACTGATATGTTTTTTGCTGAATAAACACATTCATAATCTGAATACAATTAAATTGTTAGGCAACAAAGATAGCTAATGATTTGCCCACCCAGTGCAAAGGCTGCAGAAGACAGCATCTGGAATGCCTGGTAGACAGTGCTGAGGAGGGGCATTGGTCATAGTGCATGTTATCATCAAATATATTATTTCCTTTACTTGGAAACATGGGATTTGTGGATCAACATGAGGGAGGCGTGACTGCTCTGGAGTCCTTGCCCTCTTGCTAGGTCAACAAAAATGATGAAATCTCTAGTTACCTTGAGGATTTGTCATTGTGGCCAAAAAGTTTTGTCAGCTGAGGATTCCTTCATGTCTGAGTAGTGGAAATCCTCATACAAAACTTAAAACCCAGGCTAATACTGCCTTGATGACTATGTGGGTATAAAGTGCCTTTATAAAGTCCTACAAAATCCAAAGCATTCGGGCCATCACTCTAAAGGCCCCATTTCTTGCAGAAATTTTATCTTGTTCTCCATGTTGTTGGATTGTGAAAAGGAGCCAGATTTGAAAAGTGCTACATTCATTTATATTGCGCTGTGGGTAAAAGCCTCAGCGCCTAGGGTTTGCCGATCGAAAGGTCGGCGGTTCGAATCCGTTGTTTGGTCCCAGCGCCTGCCAACCTAGCAGTTTGAAAGCACTCCTGGGTGCAAGTAGATAAATAGGGACCACTTACTAGCGGGAAGGTAAATGGCGTTTCCATGTGCTCATATGTGAGCTCATATATCTTCTGAAATGGATGTTAGTGGGCTCTTATGACTGACCGCGTAGGAATAACAAGGATGCTAGAATGGCGAGACCTTATGTGACAAGCCAATAGTGGGTGACATTGCACAGCTATGTAGGGTGCTCACACTTAGAGGTCCCAGTGCAATTCAACATATCGTACCTTTCCTTGAGCTCTCTTCATCCTTCTTCTGAATGAGTAGGTACCGAGGGCTTTCAGGTAAGAAGGGCAGTAGAGGCAACTGAAGAAATGGCATAACACAAAAAAGTTTTATCAGAGTTGGGAATCCTGTGGAAGAAGATAGTATGAAGATAAGGTGAAGAAACAGCAGTGCTCCATCTGATGCTATCTACCATATGTTTGAGAAAGGGGCTTGTTGGTTGGTTGGTCATTCTGTTCTCTGTGGGTTTGGATGCCTTTCAAGACATAATCAGCAAACTCAGCATGAGGGTTTCAAAGTTGGGGGACCTTAGTCAACATGTGGATGCCAGATGTCATTTTGAATCAAGATGGCAGGCCAAAAAGTCCTTCCTCATTTTGGGGAAATTAATGTTGCAGTACCGGCACCTTTTCCTCCCACATGTTAAAAGTGTGGCACTTATTGTAACAACATCATGGTGAGTACCAGAAACTTACTTACTTACTCACTTACTTATTTTAAAAGCAAGCACATCCAAAAACCATTGTGGTTTTTAAATGGATAGTGTTATCTACAAAACTGGTTTCCACAAATTCCTGGGCAGCACTCCCCTCTGCTATACTATAAGGCAAAGAATTAATGTCACTGAATTACCTTTTCCCGTCCCCAAGACTTCTTGAAGACAAAGTATCTGAGCCACGAGGAAACCAAACAAATAAAACAGTTGGTACATCATGATAATGCCTCCCCTCAGGCTTCTAGGGGAGATCTCGCCAAGATAGAGAGGACCAACACAGAAGCATATTCCTGGTTAGATAGAAATTCAAATGGTAATACACAACATGCATGTGGCATGATTTATTTATTAAGGCTTGTATTCAACAAATTACTATGCAAATCATCCCATAAGCACAATGTGCACAACTGAACATTGTCCAATTCTCTCTCTCTCTCCCCCCCCCCTATTGTTGTCAACATGCAGAGGGCCGAGAGGCCAGCGGGCAAGGCCCAGCTCAGATGTCTCCTTCCATCGGCCCGTGCTCCAATGTAAATCAGTGACCCGGGCTTCAAAGCCAGGGCATGCTATCAGCAGAGAGAACTGCGCACACAGAATAGGCGTGAGGCTTGTGCAAGCATACTACAACTACAGATTTATTAATCATAAATCAGGACAAAGAAACATGTCATCTCTCTCTCTCATGTCATCTCAGAGAGAACGGGAAAAGCAAAAGCTATACACAACGGAAGTTCCCAGCATACTGTGCTGGAATGTAAACAGACATGTGGCATGCAACAGTTCCACATGTCAGCTCCTTAAGGTGGAATAGAAATGTCAACAGATGCCCCGGAAAATATTTTCCTATAGTTTTTTTTTTCAATCCTCCAGAATAGATTTGGGAATGCTGTGTGTTGCACATAGTGGGAGGAAATTGGGGAAGGTCCCTTTGCACCCATGGGGGTGACTCTTGGAAGGAATTAAAGGGCAAAAGGGGATGCTTGGAATAATGGTAATCATCTCTTCATTGAGAAGGCATCAACTTCTTATCTTTGGTTTCAGCTAGGACTTGCTCCAGGGCAACATCTCTGAAAGGTTTAGTGCCTACAAAGGTCATAGAGGAACCTGTACACAAGGAAGCATCCACCTCCCTGTCAGTTAGCCAGAGGTGTCTCCTTGTGACCATTCCAGCAGCCATTGCATGAGAGGAGGACTGGGCAGAGTCCACAGGTGAGTCAGAGATGAATGCAAGGACATGGGAAGGTTTTAGAAGTGGTTTCTGGATTCTGTCAGGGTCCTGAGTTGGATAGCCTAGAACATCTTCAATTGAAAATAGTACTGCCTTGGAAAAAACAGAGGTGGAGACTGAGGCTCTAATAGCTAAAGGTAGAAGCTTCTTGTACACATTTGAGAGCAGAGTCAGATTGACACTGATTGGCATCTTTCATTGTATATTCCCATATCTGGAAAGTGGGGCAATCAATCGAAGAGGGCAGATACGGGTTGCTCAGCGATTGAAGGCATAAGCACCTGAGTACCCTTGTCAAACTCTGTGGCAAAATCTGGTGAAGTTGCCTCCTTAACCTGCTGTAGCCAAGTTGAGAGCATATTGCTGTAAAAGGACTTGCTGAGAAGGAGAGAAATTATCATAGTGGGCTAAATGAATGGGATGTAAAAGGAATTGTTGCTGAGGAGAAACCAACTGGGGCACTGAAGCAGCAAACCAGGAGGGGAGCATGGTGGCCATAAATAAACTGTGCATGTGTAGGGGGCTGTCTAATGGATCCCACAGCAGTGGTACAGGCAGTCATAGACTCCTGGGAAAACTGCTTCATGAAAGGATCCCTCTCACCCACAACAGCACAGAGGGTGCAAGGACCTATTCTCCTGCTCTTTTTCAGGTGCCAAATTTCAGTGTTCCTGATCTAATCAGCTTAATTGCACAAATTGCAGGCTGACTTCTGACCAGGTGTCCTTAACTTTTTTTAAAATATAAGGCACTAAATCCTGACTCACCTGTGCTTATTCCAGAGCAGAGACGTGAAAAGATGATGTATCCGTGATTATGCATTGAAAGTGAGATTATCATCACAACATAAAATATAATTGCTGAAAGGTTAGTTATGAACAGTGCAACTTTCCTGAAAAGATAGTGAAATGGAGCAGTGAGGTAGGGAATATACCGTACCATCTAAAGAGCAAAGGAGGGGAGGTACTATGGAACTGCAAGGGAGTCCTCAGGGTTGTTGTTTTGGTTTTGGGGTTTTTTGGGACAATTGCTTTTGGTTGTCATAGTTTGCAGAAGGGAGAAAGAACTACACGAGGCACCAAAACTCCTACTGCCAAATCAGATATCTCAAAGATTGCAGGACACACTGAATTTCCACAAGGGCTAGAAAACTAATATTTGTCACTATGCTAGGCAAGTTTTGTTAGTTGGGGAAACTGGTGGGAGAGTCTGGGATCTTCTTAATGGAGGCATGTGCTCTACTACTGACCTTGAAAAATCTTTAGGTGCCTGCCCTAGGTACATAATTGAACAAAACCACATTGAAAGGATGATCTTGAATTCAGAAGGAATGTACCCACCTCCTAAAAACAAAGCTTCATTAGCTACCATTAGGTCTCCAGGGCCCTAACTAGATCCTATTGTGTTTCTGACTGCTACATATCCCTCCATGAAATGTCTAACAATTGTTAAATGTCATCTGACAAATACGTGTGCATTTTTCTATCTCTGAAATCCCACCCTATTGCTTGAATGAACAAGAGGAATGATAATGTTATTGTAGCTTCATAAGATGTTATAAAGGGGTTTAGGGGGGCTGTAGTCAGCAACATTCTCCCATCACCACACCCTGCCATACTAGGACATGTAGATCACAAGTCTCAAGTTTATCTCTATACCTGCCAAATCTATCTAACAACCAACCAGCAGGAATGGTTGCAAAGGAGGCTCCGAGTGGAAACATAGTCACGGTGATAGACAGAAGGGAAATCTGAAAATCTGCTTCTTCAGGTCTTGTTATGTTATAGAAGCTTGGCAGGAGCTAGGACATAAGCACATAATGATTAGAACCTCACCACAGATCACATGGCAAAAAACCTGGAGAGCTTGGGACTTAGCTGAAATCCAGAAGGGCAATGGCCAGTCAGTGCATACAATGAGCTACATGGCCTATCTCCAACAATAATAACAATAATAGTTTTATTATTTATACCCTGCCTATCTGGTTTTCCCAGCAACTCTGAGCAGCGTCCAGCACATATAAAAACATAATAAAAAGTCAAACATTAAAAACTTCCTGATACAGGGTGACTTTAGATGTATTTTAAAAGTTGTGTAGTTCTTTATTTCCTTGACATCTGACTGGAGGGTGTTCCACAGGGAAGGTGCCACTGCCGAGAAGGCCCTTTGCCTGGTTCCCTGCAGCTTCACTTCTTGCAATGAGGGAACCACCAGAAGGACCTTGGAACTGGACCTCAGTGTCTGGGCTGAACGATGGGGGTGGAGATGCTCCTTCTAGTATACTGGACTGAGACCCTTGCTTTTTGAAGGGCCAAAAGCCTTTGCTTTTTGAAGCCATCTTTGCTGTAGCGCCATCTTACCCCAACAGTGTTGTAGAGTACCCTCAGATTGTAGCCATGCTGCATAGGTATGAGACAGGAAGCAACCGTTACCAGAATCAGCACCATGGACAGCTCCTACAGGAAGGAGCAGCAAATACTGGGATGAGACTGCACATTGTTAATTAAGTACACTTACCACTAATAAGATCCTAAATGGAAAGACAGAATAAATATATAGGTCTGACACCTGGACATTGCTTCATAAATGCATTCTTTTTGTACCAAGTGTTAGCTGAGTTCTCTGGGTGGTTTCCAACCTCATTAAAATTCAAACTACTACAAAATTAGAAACAAAGAAAAATATTAAATCTAAACAACACAAACAGCCATAATGTAGACACCGCCTGGAGACTTTCTCTAGGGAGAACATTTCAAAAAGGGAGCTCCACCTTTTAAAAAGCCCTTTCTCTCATCACTTGCCTCTGAAGGGCCAGTTAGCATAGCAAGGAGCAGGTGGGTACCTATGGGAGTGGGAGAAGGCAATACCGCACAATTGCACTCATTTCACACGCTAGCAAGGTTATGCTTAAAATTCTACAAGGAAGGCTTAAGCAGTATGTGGATCGAGAACTCCCAGAAGTGCAAGCTGGATTTAGAAGAGGCAGAGGAACCAGAGACCAAATTGCAAACATGCACTGGATTATGGAGAAAGCTAGAGAGTTCCAGAAAGACATCTACTTCTGCTTCATTGACTATGCAAAAGCCTTTGACTGTGTCGACCACAGCAAACTAAGGCAAGTTCTTAAAGAAATGGGAGTGCCTGATCACCTCATCTGTCTCCTGAGAAATCTCTATGTGGGACAAGAAGCTACAGTTAGAAATGGATATGGAACAACTGATTGGTTCAAAATTGGGAAAGGAGTACGACAAGGCTGTATTTTGTCTCCCTGCTTATTTAATTTATATACAGAAGACATCATGCGAAAGGCTGGGCTGGAAGAATCCCAAACTGGAATTAAGATTGCCGGAAGAAATATCAACAACCTCAGATATGCAGATGACACAACCTTGATGGCAGAAAGTGAGGAGGAATTAAAGAACCTTTTAATGAGGGTGAAAGAGGAGAGCACAAAATATGGTCTGAAGCTCAACATCAAAAAAACGAAGATCATGGCCACTGGTCCAATCACCTCCTGGCAAATAGAAGGGGAAGAAATGGAGGCAGTGAGAGATTTTACTTTCTTGGGCTCCATGATCACTGCAGATGGTGACAGCAGCCACGAAATTAAAAGACGCCTCCTTCTTGGGAGAAGGGCAATGACAGGCCTAGACAGCATCTTGAGAAGTAGAGACGTCACCTTGCCAACAAAGGTCCGTATAGTTAAAGCCGTGGTTTTCCCAGTAGTGATGTATGGAAGTGAGAGCTGGACCATAAAGAAGGCTGATCGCCGAAGAATTGATGCTTTTGAATTATGGTGCTGGAGAAGACTCTTGAGAGTCCCATGGACTGCAAGAAGATCAAACGCATCCATTCTTAAGGAAATCAGCCCTGGGTGCTCACTGGAAGGACAGATCGTGAAGCTGAGGGTCCAGTACTTTGGCCACCTCATGAGAGGAGAGGACTCCCTGGAGAAGACACTGATGCTGGGAAAGATGGAGGGCACAAGGAGAAGGGGGCGACAGAGGACGAGATGGTTGGATAGTGTTTTTGAGGTTACCAGCATGAGTCTGACCAGGCTGCGGGAGGTAGTGGAGGACAGAGGTGCCTGGCGTGCTCTGGTCCATGGGGTCACGAAGAGTCGGACACGACTAAACGACTAAACAACAACAAACCTTTTCCTTTCCTTTTAATGGACTAGTTCTATTTCACCACAATGCTAAACTGAGTCCTGCTTATTTTCAATTATCAGTAGTCCTTTATTGCTAGGCACCACACGCTTAATAGATATGTTACATATGCAATACAGATATCCAATGGTATCCTTTATTGTGATTAATTCAAGCTACACCCCTATCTTGAAGATCTATGACTTTCTATGACAGAGGAGTCGACCTAATGTCCAGAGGTGCCTATTCTTTGGAATAGATATATGGAGTCCATGTGGGTGAAGCTACCATTCTACATTAAAAATGCTCAACTGGTAATCAAAAGCACCTACATAGAAGGATAGAATTGGAAGGGATCTTGAAGATAATCTTGTCCAACCCCCTGTCTGTGTTCAACTGTCATAGGCATATGACTGCATGAGGCAGGTGTGTTGAACTGTAGCTGGCTGAACTGATGCTGGAGTAAGTCCTCAAAAATGGTATTCTGGGGGGTGGGAGTGGGGGAGGTGGAATCAGAATGGATTTGGGTTTGATCTTAAGGATGTTAAGCTTGGTCATGTGATCTGGGAACACAGCATAGAACACTATTTTAAAGTTTTGTTTTACCTCTGCCAGGCTTAAGCAGGGCAGCACTAGCCCCACTGATTAATGGAGTCTGGTTCTGATGTAAATTTATGCTCGCTTAACTTAAATCAACTTGCTCATTGTGCATGGGATTGCTCCTTTAGTGACTGATGGATCAGTTGTATCCTTTTTATTCATGGTTTTTAGGGAGTGGATTGGACGAAGCACTCCACTCTCACTCACCCGTTTCTTGGTTGCTGTGTTGCCTACATTCTTCTTGCTATTCCTGGCTTCTTCTGAGTTCACCTCTCTCTCCATTTCTGCACTGGCTTTCTCATCTCCTTGGTTCATGCTTTCTTGTGTAAGAGTCAGAAAACACACTCACCTGTTGGGGAATAAGAAAGTTACCCTGTTGGACTTACCTTATTTCCCAGCACCTAGCTCCAGAGTGATAACTTGAAGTTCTTCCTTTGAGCCCAAATCATTAAAAGCAACAAAACAACAACAACCTAACCTAACCTAAGGGTCATCACCTGTGGTGTAATGGAGGAGGACGACAGGGGATTGCAGCTCTGGGACTTCTTCAGAGCAGAAGTGTTTGTGTCATCTGGCAAATGCACCAGGATAACTGATGAAACCTCCTTGCTTTGTCAAGTGAATGAGGTGAAGTTTGTGATCTTATATGGAAAATAATAATGGGGGAAATTATGGAAAACTGACTTAAAATTTACAGATTGTTCCCTATTGAAGGAGAATTACATGAAGATGGTGTACAGATGGTACACAACACCAGTGCAGTTAGGGAAAATGGACAAAACTAGTTCAAATATATGTTGGAAGTGTAAGGAAAAGGAGGGGACATTTTATCATATGTGGTGGGGTTGTAAGGTAATTAAATTTTTTTGGAAATGATATACAACGAATTGAAGAAAATGTTCCATTTAACTTTTGTTAAAAAACCTGAAGCATTTTTATTAGGGATTGTAGGGAAAGATCTGCCAAAAAAGCTGAAAACATCTTCATGTATGCGACAACGGCCGCAAAAGTTTTAATAGCACAAGGATGGAAGACTGAAGAAACCCCAACTAAAGAATCATGGCAAGAAAAATTGATGGATTATGTAGAACTGGCAAAACTGACATACAAGCTACAGGACAAGGATAACTGTGACTTTAAAGATGAATGGGAACGCTTTACAAAGTATTTGAAGACACAACAAAGCGAACTGGACTCCTTGGCTGGTTTTGAATAAACATTCACAAACTTTTTATTGATAATAATCAGCTAAATAGTTTGAAGATCTATACAACAGTGTAACATGCAGAAAACAGCATTTTTAGAGAAATCAAAGACTGGAACTGAGGAAAGTCGGGGTGGGGGTGGGTGGGTTCTGTGGGGGAGGGAGGAAAAGTGGGGGGAAATAAGGATGATATGTCTGGATAATATGTTTTGTTTTAATTCTGAACAAAAAGTTATTTAAAAAAAGAAAAAAAAGTAAATAAGTGCATGCAGAGTACTTTGATAAGGTTTCGTCATCAGATAGCACTCTACATTTTAACACTTCTTTGCAAGCTTGTTTACATTTATAATGAAAAACTAAAATTTGCACTTTTTGTGGTTGAATGTATTTTGAATGAGCTCAGTGAGTTGTAGAAGCTGAATATCCATTGGAGTGCTATCACGCAGCTCTTAATAAATTGAGTACTGCTAGCTGCATTTTTTGGAGTCTCCTTGGGGACATGATTATGGATCTGCCATGATGAGCATCTGCGCTTCAAAATTTACCGCTATACTGGTCATCATCAAATCACTTGTACTGACCATGGGAGAGAACTTCTTTAGTCCTTGAACATTTGGCTCCTTCAACATATACAGTTGTACCTTGGAAGTTGAACAGAAGTCCGTTCAACTTCCAAAACATTCCTTTGAAAACCAAGGTACGACTGTATTGACATGATCTCAGACAGAAGCTGGAGAAAGTACAGGAGCTGCCCATGTCATTGATTGTATAAACAACAAGGTACAGGTGGAATCTCTTTATGGGCAGTCTCCCCACCCAATGCAGAGTATTCACCATGGAAGGATTCAAGGACAAAGAGGCAAGAATCCACAAATGTGTATGCACAAGCATCACCAACCCACACTGTCTGCTATGTGCAGAAAGCAAGACAACTACTTCCTTGAGTCAAATAAGGCCACAGCTTTATTGATTATTGACGTAAGAGGTTTGGCATGGGAATTGGATATAACCATTTTCATCCAGCCTACCTGCTGGATGTGTTGATTATTCGAGTCAACCCTAAAGTTGTGATGTCCTATGACTTATATCAAGTAGGGACATCCCTGTTGGATCACCATGTTGAGGATTGCCTCACCTGGGTGTCTGTATAGAAGCAGTTCTTCCTGGTTCCATTTATCAGGATACCCCTTACCCTTTGCAGGGACAGGCAGAAGATACAGCCTCCCATCAACCATGACTAAGGCTTACCCAATGCTTAAACCACTAAAGTTTTGATGATTGCTATGAGGTAGGTAAGACCCACTAGACAAGGCTAATTGGTCCAAGGGGAGATTCCTGCCCAGCCCTAAATATGGCGGTCAACAATGTCCACAACAAGGTCAAATGCACCACAATACCGACAACAACATAAAGTGTGAGTGAGTGAGTGAGTGAGTGAGTGAGTGAGAGATCCGACAAGGAAACTGTGTGCAGGAGCAAGGGTAGGCCATTTTAAATACTGGACAAGTGAACCCAAGTGAAACCTGCTGGCCTCAGTTGGTCCCAGGAAGAGTCCACCCCCCAGGCCTGCCTGCAATAGGCCAATTCAGCAGGCACACCTAGAATCTGACCTCCTAGCTAGCATGGAGGACCAACTGGCTCCTCAATGGCCATGAGACGCCCACATGTAGACACTCCATGCTGGATCACACCAGGCAGGGTTCTGCAGGCCCGCAAGGCCACCATACCAATAGTTGGGTTAGTGGAATTAGGTGCACAAATGTTGCCACCCCCTGCTGCCCAAAATGTGGAGAAGAAATAGACAAAACAAATACTTCTTACCACAGTGGTCCCAGACTGGTGAGGAGGGAGGAAGAGAGTCAATTCCTATTTTATTTTTTTTTTAAGCACTCAGAACTCTATTGGTGTTGCGAGAGCCTATCAGGGAGATGGATGTCAGAAGGTTCCAATAAGCTGTTGACAGTTGGGAGCTGAGATGACCCAAGCTTTCTCCTGACAAAGGAGACTGCTCTATGGTTGTATTCTAACAATAATTTAACTTGGAACAGTTGCTGGGGCGATAGAACTAGAATTCTGTTTCCTGCTGAATCAGAAAAAAGTCAATTGTTGTTGTTCTTTTGTAGGCACTAATAGGATGGTTCTGTTCAGATCTTCTGGCTTCTGGTGTTATGATTCCAACGGTTGTAGATAAAATGAAGAAAGAAAGAAAAAGAGTTTCCCAGCTCTTTCCTCTCCTCCTTTGGTATTACTGGTTTATTTTGGGCTGTTCTGTATTAACATAGCTCTTCCCCAGGCCTATAGGACCCCCCATTACTGTTGTGATTCAACTTACATGTCCCTGCCTTCTCTAAGTGGTAGGCTGAGTCCATCACTATCTGGACTGGAGGGAAGAACATTCATAGTCACCCCCCCCCCAAAAAAAAAAAGCTGTGGAGCTGTGATTTACCCCACAGGTCTAATTTCCAGCACCCTTAAGAAACCACAGTTCCCCAGATTCTTTGGGCTCTTTTGGAGGGGTGTCTTTAAAGTGATGGATCATTTTCTCTCCTCACACTAAGAAGAAGAAGAGTTTGGATTTGATATCTCACTTTATCACTATCCGAAGGAGTCTCAAAGCGGCTAACATTCTCCTTTCCCTTCCTCCCCCACAACAAACACTCTGTGAGGTGAGTGGGGCTGAGAGACTTCAGAGAAGTGTGACTGGCCCAAGGTCACCCAGCAGCTGCATGTGGAGGAGCGAGGAAGCGAACCCGGTTCCCCAGATTACGAGTCTATTGCACTTAACCACTACACCACACTGGCTCTCACTAGGGATTTATGCATATGCTTCAGTCCGAACCACTATTCTTTCACACTTTCACCTGACATTTCCTGTTATTCTGCTACTGGTTTACTTTACACAATTCCGTGTTCTGCTTTATCATCTACCGATGCAGAAACATTCATTTATCTTTCACGTAGCACAATATAGGCACACGTATCCACCATCAGATATTGTCAACAGGAAGGGAACATTTGGGTGAAATTCTCGTAGAGATGTTCCTACAGTTTCCTTACCTTTGAAATGGCTAAATACATTTGCAAGTGCTCTTTCATTCTACAAAATATCTCACCAGTGGTTTGCACCATGTAGCCTTCCCAGTTTGCCCATGCTTGAATTAACTCCCAGGGGAAGACATCATGAGGTAACTGCCACGTTGTCTTCTCACATCAGAAAGCTTGGGTTGAACAGCAACAATAAGGTATGCTTAAAAAGAAAGAAAAGAAAACCAAACACCCACAAAAATTCTGGATAAATGCTTAAGTGCCATGAGAATGGAAGAAAAAATAACACTCTGGAGAAATTGGAGGACATCTTTCAAAACATAAGGCATGGGATGGGTTCCCTTTGTGGCCCCCAAAAATGTGATAGTGCAATTAAAAGGAACTTATAGGAGCCTATTGCTTTAAGAAACTGCTAAGAAACTGCTGAGGAAAGCTTCTCACTTTGCAAGCAGCCCCCCCATAAAAGAGAGAAGTGAAAATCACAATACACGCAGGTTCACAGCATACACAATACAAAGCGCAATAGATGCACAATAGCTTTTGCTACAAAATGTATCTAAGTTATGCTTGTGCACAGTAGATGCTGAGCTACGAATATGCTTATGTTAGAAGCACAGGCACACTGAAATGAAATGTAACTAAATAAGTTCTGGCTAACAACAGCTTGTATGCTTTTTTTTTTTTTAATGAGGTTGGTGCTGTGGGTTAAACCACAGAACCTAGAACTTGCCGATCAGAAGGTCGGCAGTTTGAAATCCTCACGATGGGGTGAGCTCCCATTGCTCGGTCCCTGCTCCTGCCACCTAGCAGTTCGAAAGCACGTCAAAGTGCAAGTAGATAAATAGGTACCACTCCGGCAGGAAGGTAAACGGCATTTCCGTGTTCTGCTCTGGTTCTCCAGAAGCGGCTTAGTCATGCTGGCCACATGACCCAGAAGCTGTTCACCGGCTCCCTCGGCCAGTAAAGCGAGATGAGCGCCGCAACCCCAGAGTTGGCCATGACTGGACCTAATGGTCAGGGGTCCCTTTACCTTTACCTAATGAGAAAGCATATGATTGGAGAAAAT